CTGGGACAGACCCCAAGCAGCTGGATGAAGGTGTTCTTTGCAAGCATTCACTGGTGCCAATGCTTCTCCATCACATGAGGCTCACCAGGACCCGGAGTATCCCAGTGCCCCCCTGCGCATCTCGAGCTCTTCACAGGGCTGGCACAGGGCCGGGCTGCTCTATGGGGCAGGCAGCACGTCCCCATCCCCACACCAAGGCACCCAGCCCCTGCTTGCCTTTATCTCATCCCAATTCCCAGCCCCGGCTCCCAATTAAAGGGTAAAAGCACATGGGATCCAGGCCAGGCACGAATGGTTTCAGCGCAGCAATTAGCCCGACGTGAGCGAGGAACAATTAGCGCTGCTCACTGGAATTTGGCCATTGTGCCGTTCATTGTATGTTTTTGCCTTAAAAGGGGGCCATGGTGTTGGGAGGAGAGCGAGGGCCCCCGTTCGCAGCGCCGGGCTGACATTTGCACTATGTTAGTCATGCTGCATGTCAACATTTTTGTGAGCTTTCCAAAAACAGAAATTCTAATGGGATGTTTTAATCCTGTCCACACCCCCGCAAGTTCCCCCCCCCCCACCTCCTTTTCCCTTTTCACTTCCCACCTCCCCCCTCCTCCTCGCTGCCCTGCACCGTGCTCATACCACCCTCTCAGCTTTGGCTCCCGGAAACCAGAACAGCGAAATTCCAAATTATACTAACATCACATGAAAAATGAACTGTGGTTTTTAATCCCCTTTGCTGGGGGGGAGGTGGGAAAGGAGCAAGAGATTTCCTGGGGGTGTGGGACGTGGGGAAGGGGCTTTTGGAGACCACCAAGGGAAGGCAGGGAAAGTGGTGGGTGAATGTTGCACAATGCTCGGCAACGGGGTGATGGAGAAGCCAAGGAGCTGTGGGAGCCTGGAGAGAAACCACATACCCCAGGGGGTTGGAAATAGCCTTGGTGAGGGTGTAGCAGCAGGGTGACACATATCTGAAGTGTGTGAATGCAGGAGCTCTGAGGCAGCCTTGGTTTCCCTGGGGAGCAGCAGAGGTGGGGATGCTTGGGGCAAGGAGCCAAAAAGACCCCGGATCCTTCTGCACCATCAGGTTTGGGGAACCTGGAGGTGCATGTGGCTGTGAGCAGGGAGGGGAGGATGGCTCCCTGTCCATCATGAGGGAACCTGGGAAGGGGAGATCTGGGGATTTACTGGGGTAGGTGTGGAGATAGAAGGAAAGGACAGCTCTGGACCTGCTGCCCTAGGGACAGGAACCCCAGCACCGTGCATCCACTTAGGGGGTACCGAGGCACCAGCACTGGTGTGAGCTGGGAGCTCTGTCTGTCTGTCTGTCAGTCCATCGTCAGTGCGCTCTCCCTTCCATGCCTATTTTCACCTTTATTTGTAACAGAACAAATCCATTCCCCCAAGGAAAGCACACCACACTCCCTGGCCATGGAGCCCCAGGAGGGGCATCGACCCAGCGAGTATCCCCCCATTTCATCTCCCCTCTGCCCAGCTGAATGGTGAGCACGAGGAGCTATGCTGTCCACCCTCCTGTGCCCCCGCCTTTCTTCCAGTGTGTCCATGAGTCCTCAAACCCTTCCCAGCTATGGGGCCTTGATCTGGGGGCAGTGGGGTTGGAAATGGCTCTGGTGGGAGAAGAATGTGGGATGGAGATGGGGGGGGACTGTCCCCTCCCGCCACCACCAAAGCCCGAAATTCTTAGACCTGAAGGAGTCACCACCAAATTCCATTCAACTGACAGAAAAGAAATCAAATCCTTTTAAAGAGAGCCCACTTTCCCCACAAGAATGCTCCCCCAGCCTTTTGTTGCAGGGCTCTGCTTTCCCCCAGCAGCTCGGAGGAAGCTGCTCCAATACATTAACCAGTTTAACTCACTCATGACCCCCCCGCCCGCCACACAATGGGGCTCTTCGCCCGCTTTTTCCCCCTCTCCCTTTCAGGATCTAAATCCCCCGCTGTTCCCTGCTCGCTGCCTCTCTCACTCAACCTTTCTCAGGCCTCTGCTTCAGCCCAGGGAAATAATAACGCTTTGCATTTCTATAGACCCCCGGCCCCATGGGATCTCAGCGCTCCCTGAGCGCATCGCCCTGTCCCCAAAACCCGAGGGGACCCGAAGGGTAAGGGAGAAGCTTTTGGATCTGGGGCTGTGGAGGGGTCGTGGGGTTCAGATTGGATCTGAGGAGCTGGAGGAGGCTGGGGACAGCCAGGGAGAGAGACAGAGACTGCTCAGCACCCACAGGTTGGGGACCGCCAATGGTGGAGATGGGGACAGCTCAGCATTCACCAATGGCACTGCCCTACAATGGGGTGGGGAGATTTTATGTTCACAGAGGAGTTAGGAAACCCCAATATGTGAACAAAAAATGACTCCTGCCTTGAGTCTGAATAGCACTGCCTGTTCCCTGGTGCACACAATGGGAAGTTAACCAAACCCAGGCTGGCAGCACAGAACTCTGCTGTGGGACGCTGCCGGCTTCCTACCAGTAATTGATGCAAAGTCTCTTTTGTGCTGTCAGAAAATCCCAGAAAAAAAAAAAAAAAAAGGTGGGGAATGGGGTGGGCAGCAGCAACGTGGCTCCCAGCCGCCTTCCTCCTCCTCCTTCTCCATTGCACATCCCAGTGCATGGGGCCAAACTCCGTTCAGTTCCCACAACACCATGATCGTGATGAAGTCTGTGTCCAACAAAGCTTTTAACCCCTCTTCTTGATACAACCTCGAAGCAATCCACAGCTCCAGTGCTGCGCTTCTCCCCGATGACCTGAGCACTTTATTATGGGGGATTTATTTACCCTTTTTAACATCCCGAAGAAGCTGTGAGCCTCTTAGGGACCACCTATCGAGCACCGGGGTCAGGCTGCAGCAGGGGAGGTGATGCAGAGGGTTTAAACCAATTTAAAGAAACCTAATCCCATGGTGTGGCTGAAAGAGAGATGGCCCACACCAGCCTCTGCCCTGGGTTTGGTGCAGGGTGAATGGAGACAGGGAAAATCAATGTGGGGTTTTGGTGGGGTTAATTTGCAGTGGGACAGAGCTGGTGTGGTGCCTCTGACTGCTGTCTGGCTGCTCAGCTTGGAACTGCACAGGAGGGTTCCCATGCGGACGTCTCATCTCTTCACCCCATCACCCTGTCCCTTTGGGTACCACTCATCCCATCGTCCCGCTGCTGCAGACATCCCCATGCTGGCTGAGGGCTGACCAAGGAGGCCAGGTGCTGGGATAGGAAGCCTGTAGGGACACAGCTGATCCCCGGGGAGCTGCGCTCCAGCGGGACAGTGCCAACAAAAGAAAGCCTTCCTCCAGCACTGCAGCATGCCAGCCCAGGAATGAGATAAGGACTGGCCCCAGGGGACCCTTATGCCAGTGGCACGGCGGCTTTCAGTCCCTGGCACAGTTTTCTGGGTGCACAGAGCCCGCATTGTCACCCACCCCATGGCACCGACCGGGACCCCAACATCTGCCCGCAGCGCGTATCCCCAGCCACCCCGGGGCTGTGAGCAGCTGTCGGGGGACAAGTGCGTGTCCTCCCCTTTTGGCTCCTGGAGAAAGGCGCTCTTTCTTTGCTCAGGGTTTTGCTGCTCGGGCTTTTCAGCTGCCTCTCGAGCTGCAGTTGCTGTGCCATCGGGTTGGAGACAAAAGAAGACAAGGAAAAGAAAACAGGCTCAAAGGCTGGGCTTCAGCAATAGTGGGAAGTGGTGAGTGTGGGATTTGGTTCCTGTGTTTGTAGGGTCCAACTGTTGTTTTTTTCTTTTTTTGCTTCCCTTTACTATGGGACGCTTCTTCGGCAGGACTTGTCCCTCCTCTGCCACAGGCAGTGCCATATAACTCCAAAGCTGTGCCTACAGTCTTCCGCAGCACTTTTGGCCATGGGTACAGTGTTAGAGAGCTGAGCAGGGTGATACATATCCCAAAAGCAGGGGAAGGCCAATGCTGGGGCTTGCCTGAGGAAGCAACCTCCTTGCTTCGTCCTGCCTGGTATTATAGCATTGTTTATGCAGTGCCAGAGATGAATGGAGCACGTGACAGCAGGAAAAATGCGAGTTGGACAAGGGCCCTGCCCAAAAATGCGGCAGCCCCTGATTATGGCATTGCAGAGCAGCCCAGGCCCAAACCCAAATCTGCCTCCCTTCAGCACACACAGTGGGAGAGAAAACCCCAAGCCCGGGATAAAAGGGAAAAGAGGCCCTGCTTTGGTGTCAGTAATAGAGCAGGTTGGCGGCACAAGAGCCTGGAGCAGCTCTCAGCCCAACATTCCCCTACAGCCCCCACTTCTCTCTGGGAACACAGCATCTCATCAGCACAGCATTGTTGCCATGGCTGGCAGCTGTGGGGGCACCTCAACAGGTTTCATTTTCAGCCTGCACGGTGGGAATGCCCATCACATGGGTTCCATAGCACATAGCATAGGGTCAGCCAGATCTACCCAAGCAGGGGGTGTCGGGCTTCCTTCTGAACCTGGCACTTGGTGGAAGCAAGAGAAATGCCACTTGGTTTTTTTCTTTTTTATTATTATTTTTTTTTAAGCCAGCCTGGATGTTGGTCAGGCTGAGCAGAGCTCTGCTGGACACAGCTCTGTGTGAGGCTTAGGGAAATTCTGTTCACCTGCAAGTGGGGATCATGGTGCCCCCACCCCACACCTCAGAGGGATGGCAAAGTTATCAGGCAGCACCCACCTACCATAAAGGGACGTGGGGGGGGGGGGGAGAGTCCATGCAGGACATGATCCATGGGCAGGGAGCAGCTGGAGCGGGGCAGGCAGTGAGAGGGACTGGGGCTGGGGATGAGAATGTGGATGGAGATGGGAATGAAGACGGGGATGAGGATGTGGATGGGGATGGAGATGGGGATGGGGATGGAGAGATGGGGATGGGGATGGAGAGATGGGGATGGGGCTCTGCCCACGCCCCGCGGCCACGCGTGGAGGCGGTGCCGGCGCCTGTCCCTCCCCGGGCGGGGCGGGGGCAGTTTAAAGGCGGCGGCGGCGGCGCGGCGGGGGACGGCGGAGGTGCGGTCGGAACGCGGCCGGTGGCGGCGCGGAGCGGAGCGGGGCCGGGCGGTGGAGGTGGCAGCGAGGAGGCGGAGGAGGATGCTGAAGAGCTGCGGGAGGAAGCTGCTCCTGTCCCTCGTGGGCTCCATGTTCACCTGCCTGCTGGTGCTCATGGTGGAGCCGCCGGGCAGGCCGGGGCTGGCTCGGGGAGAGGCCGGCGGGGCTCAGCGGGCGCTGCAGAGCCTGGGGGCGGCCCGGCCGGCGGGGCAGGGGGCTCCGGGCTTCCGCAGCTTCGCCGACTACTTTGGGCGGCTGAGCCGGGCACGCCGCGAGCTGCCCGCCGCTCCGCCGAGCCCCCCGCGGCCGCCAGCCGAGGACATCTCCCCCCGCGACGTCTTCATCGCCGTCAAAACCACTAAAAAGTTCCACAAAGCGCGGCTGGAGCTGCTGCTCGACACCTGGATCTCCCGCAACCGCGACATGGTAAGGTCGCGCCCGGCAGGTGCCAGCGGGTCCGCGCCGCTGCCACCTCCTCTTTGCTCTCCCCTCGGGGTCACCGGGGGATTTCGAGGTGGGGTTGGTGGCTTTCGGGAGGGAGAGAGAGATGCGGGGTGTCTTTAGGAAGAGGGAGCGACGGAAGGAGCTTGGCTGCCTCTCACTGAGCGGTCAGACCCCAAAAGCTCTGAGCTCCCGCGGAGGGTTCTTCTTGAACTGCTTTCTGCTGGGGAAACTGAGGCACGATGCAGACCGCACCCCCTCCGCCCCTCTCTCTTCCCCCCCTCCTAAGGCCGTGCCAGGAGCTGGGCAGCACTGGGGGCTCCGGCTCCAGCCCTGCCTCCCCGGCACCCCGCCGTCTGCACGGACGCTCTCGCTGTCCTTCAAGTGTTGAAACCAAACTTACAAGAAAGAAAAAAAAAAAAGCATTTCCTTAGGAAATGTGCCTGGCCATCTGCTCTTGAGACACTTTTCCTAGCCGTAGGCAGCTTCCCGAGCCGGCGAAGCCCGGTCCTAACCTCCCCATCCGACTGTCTTCACGTGTTTCCTCCTGCCCCGGAGCTCAGCTTCTCGCTGTTTGTCGGAAGCCCGAAGTGGTGGTGGTTGGGACCGACGTGTCCCTGCCTCCTTCCTCGGCTGCGTCGGGCCCTGCCGGCCGCCCCGAGCACCACAGATTATTTTCCCTTTAATGTATTTTATCGTGTTTCATCCCCTGGGGATCTTTTCCCTCTTTCTGCTCGGGGTTTGGCAGCGGCTCTGCCTCCCTCCCTGGTGCGGTTATTTAATGGAAACCTCTATTATGCTCCGCTGTCACTGCGAAGGGGGTGGAGAGCGGTGGGGGGAATAGGGGGGGAGCGAACGCTCTTTAAGCACCTACAGTTGATCCTGGGAATGGCTGCTCTTCTCGCCCCCCCCCCCCCCCCCTCCAGTGAGCTTCGGCTTTCTTCTGTTTTTTTTTGCTTTTTTTTTTTTTTTTTTGCTTTGTTTTGCTCCGTTTGTCCGTTTGGATTCCCAGAGCCCCGCGCCTCGGCTCTCACGCTGTCCCCCTGGGCACGCTAACAAAGCCCCTTTTCTCCCGGCGCAGAGAAAAGGCTTCGCAGCCTCTTGTGTGGCACTTTCCATGGGAACGGGGGAGCCGGAGCCGGCCGTGTTCAGGTCAGGTTGCCTAGAGATGAGGGCCACGAAGCCAGGGGGGCTGCAGCCCGTGAGGTGCCCGCCCGACAGCCGCGCGCTGAGTGATGGCCCTTGTGTGGCACTTGAGGACGAGGGGCTGTGAGAGCCGGCGGCACCGCCAGCTCCTGCAGGGGCATCCCGTGCTGCTGCTGTCTGCTCTGTGCTTCCTGCACTGCCCCAACCTCTGCCTTTGGGAATCTTTGGGGCTCCTCCAGGCTTGGGGCCACCCTGGGTTCCTTCAGATTTGGGGACGTGTTTTGGTGCCGGTGCAGTGCGGCTCCTCCCCATCCCTCCTGCATCACCTCCCGACTGGGGATGGGTGTTTGTGCCCTGTGGTTTGTGGTGGGCTCCAACGTCTCTCTGGCTCTGAGTCAAGCCCGTCTCACTTCGGGTGTGCTGAGGGGAAGTTCCTTCCCTGGTGCAGCATCTCTCTCCCCCTCCAAACCTCCTTCTCTGCAAGAAGGGGTTAGATCTGGCAGGTACCTCCAGCCTGCCCCTGGCAGATAGGGGGAATAGCTATTGTGTTCCTCCTGGCCGCCCTTTGTTCTGCCTACAATAGGCCCCGTTTCCTGTGTTCTGGCCATTGCACTGCAGTGCTCTCAGGGCAGCGGGCATCCCTTCTCCTTCCTGCTTCTCTCTGCACAGAGGGCAGAACCCCATTCCCTGCTCAGTCTGCTCTGTGCAGTGCAGCCAAGGCTGAGGACAGGCAGCCCTGGGGAAGAGCTATGGGGTTTTCCCATCCTTGCTCTGGGGGGCATTCCCAACTGTCTCAGTACTGTATCCTTAGGATGTTGGAGTGCGGCCTGGGGAAACTGCACTTGAAAGAGAAGAGGGAGGAAAGTGGCCTTTATGCAGAAATCCTGGAGCCAGCGAGCCCAAACCATCGAAAAAAAAAAAAGCCATCCAAAAAGCTATCCAAACCCACTGTTTCCTGCCATAGCAGAATTGCTTAAGAAACATCCCAGTCCTGGGGCACACAGGGCAGCGGGTGCTCGGCACACGCCGTGTTGCCCACGGGGAGCCAAGGCAGGGCTGGCATCACATTGCAATCCCATCCCACCTGCGTGGGAGCTGCTTGTTTCCCCCAGCAAAGTGCGATAATTGCGGGCTTTGAAAAATTCCTGCTCTGGGCACAGAGGAATACATTTGCCTTCCAGACAGCACGCTCCGCTGGTGGTGGAGCCCAGATTTCTCTAGCACCTTGGCCAGAGTTCCCATCCTGGGGGAGAAGCGCACGTGTCCCACTTGGGTGCCTGTTGCGGTGGGGTGGTGTTAGTGCCAAACCTGGTCCTGCTGGGTGCCCTCAGTCCTGGGGTGTACTGAGCACAGCTAAGCTCAGTTCATGAGTGTGCATCCCTCCCTTTGCAGCCCCTTCTTTAGGGAGAGGTTTGAGCAGAGCCACAGGCACTGTCTGGGCCGTTAATTGCCCGCCCATAACGATGCTGCCGTCCTTGTCAATAAGAGTGTGGCGTGCGTGTAGCGCCAGGCGGGAGGGCGGGGGACCCTGGCTGCACAATGAGCTCATTGTTTGCATGGAGGTTATTAAAAAATTATAGCATTTAAAATTACAGTGGAGGATTCTTCCTCCTTACTGTGAAGAGCCGGGGGGAGGAAGGGCCCTCAGCCTCTTGCCAGGGTGGTGCTCTGCAGGGCTGTGCCCTGCAATCCCTGTGCCAGCCCAGAGCCCGTCTGGACACAGAGTTGGTGATAGGGACAGTACCTCTGTGCTGCTCTCAACCCAGCAAAGTGAGCAGCTGGTTCACTCCTTCTTTGGGGGGAAGAAAGAGGTGAAAGAGCCCCCCTGGAGGGGGCTGGAGTGCTCCTAGCACAGGGAAGTGAGATGTCGGGAGGATGCAGGATTGGTGCGCTATGGGGTCACGGGGCTGAGGTTCCCCTTTTTGCAGGGGGGAAGGTGGGGTGGGTGTGATGTGTCACCTTTGCCAGCCCTTCTGGAGCACTGTGCAATGTGGCACAAAGAGGAAGGCTGCCTGCCCTCAGCTCTGCCTGGCCCATAGGATGCTTTGCACAGCTCAAAGCAAACCCACGAGCTCACCCAGCAGAGGGGAAATGAGTCACTGCGAAAGGAGAAACGGAGGGGAGGGTGGCAAAACCTAAAGAAACACTGTCCCCAGGGGAGAGGTGGCGGCGGCTGGGGGACTCCAGCCCTGTGCTCACAGATTGGGGCTGACGCATCCCCCGGCTGCAGGGACCCTTGGGGTACCTCTGTGCAGGGCTGGGCGCAGCAGGGGCAGCTATTGTTTGGTGAGGCTTTGGCATCCTGTGTTTCTTGAAGTTGCACTTTTGAGAACAATGAGGTTTCCTGTGAGTCCCGGGGCAGGGGCTCTGGGCAGGCAGTGTGCCGCCAGCGGGCCTTTCCTCCCCTCTGCTCCCCTGAAAAATTAACTGTATGGGGATGTGAGAGGTCTTGGACCTGTTCAGCACCGTAGTGAGGAATGGGGATCACGTGGGCCTGGAGGTGGTGTTGACTTAGGGCTGCAGTGTCCCATTTTACTGTGGATCAGTGTTGTGGCTCTGTGGGCTCTGCTGTGGGGTGGGGATGCTGAGCTCATCTGAGGGATGCTCATCACGATAGTACTAATCCTGCTCTGGGGTGCTGAGCTGTGCAGCTCTGGCCACGTTTCACTCAGTTTCAGCCAAGCAGGGGCCACCACAGTCCCTGAGCTCAGTGGCTGTTTCCCACCTGTGATTTCTTTCCTGTCCTTGGACTGTAGAACCAGGTCCTACTGCTGTCAGGATGGGGCTTCTTCCCCATCACGTGGGGATGAGTCTTCTTTCCTGGCCCTATTGACAGCTCCTGGTCCAGGAGTTGTGCAGGAAGGTCACAATTTGTCTATAACAAATGCAGATAAATCAATGAAAAAAGTGAGAAAGGCTGTCATTATCTTGGCTTTAATTGAAATTCTTGGCTGGGTCCTGGCAGCAGGAGGTGAGGAACCTTCCTTGCAACAGAGCTGTGTGCCCCACCATGTCCCCAAGGTGCCACCAGCATGGGGAGCCCTGCGGGGACATGCAGAGGAGGGGCTGGGAGGAGGATGCTTCGTTTGGGTGAGGACTTGGTGAAGGTGAGCAATAAGCAATGGTCCCCACGGCCTATTTATAGAGGAGCGCTCTGCAGGGTTATTTTTGGAGCTGTGCAGTGGCACAGATGGTGCTTCTGATCTAATGCTGCAAATGTGTTCTGTCTCAGAGGCTGTGGGTGCTGAGGGGATGTTCCAGCCCCAGCACCTTGGGGTGTGTGCATCCCTTGGAGCCCTTCCTGTTCCACAGCCCCTTGCTGGTGGGTTCATGTCCCCCCCCATCCCACACTGAAACCCTTTGCTCGAGGCCATGCTGATGGATTCAGGGCTGGCCTATATCTCTCCAAACCCAGGGATGCCCAGCAGGCGTGCGGCTGTGCATTTGTGAGAATTTGCCTTCCCACTTTAACTCTTCCATTTTCAAGCCCCAAGGGTCACTTGCAGCCCCATGCCCCCCTTCAGCAGCTCCCAGCTCTTCCCTCCGCCGGGTTAACCAACGCAGCTGTATGCTAATGACCACCGCTGCCTGCTTAACTCTGCTCTGCTGAGTAAAGTCAGCCCCGCACCCCGCTATTGTGCAGACCCCGCTCCCTCCCTACATAACCCACAAAACCCCCACACGCCGCTGGGGCCGGCTGCCTGCGGGGTGGCACTGAGTTTCCAGCTCACTTGGAATTCATCATCCCATGTCCCCCCTCCCACCACCTCCTGCCTTCCCCCCTCAATCCCCCCCCAGCCCTTTTGTCTTTCTTCTTCTGCCCTTTTGTGCACGTCTGGTTTGTAATAGCGCTTGGCAGCTGGTTGTGGTTCCTCTCCTCCAGCTTTGTTTGCTGTGCACTGATTGATCGCGATGCCTTTCCTGCTCCCCTATTCTCTGCTTCTCGCCCTTCTCCAAATGCAGGGCAGACAGCAGCCCCCAGCCCCTCCTTTCCTGGGTGACATATGCCAGGAATTAGCTGTGTAAATAGAGGAGTGCAGCCGGGCAGGCAGAGGTAACAGGAGACACTGCCCTCCATGGGGCTGTCAGTGGGTCCCAGCACCCTGCAGATATTGCTCAGGGAGGTTGTGGGTGCCTCCTACCTGGAGGCAGTTCAAGGCCAGGCTGGATGGGGCTGTGAGCAACCTGATTGAGAGGGAGGTGTCCCTGCCTAGAGTGGGGGATTGGAACTAGATGATCTTAAGGGTCCCTTCCAACCCAAACCATTCTATGATTGTGCAAGTGGCTGGCGCTGTTGATGCATGTGGGGATGAGGGCAAACACACCTGGCCAGCTGCTTTGGCATTGCTGTGTGTGCATGTTGGTTATTCCAGATGAGGTCTGAAGTCCCAGCATGGATGAAGCTGTTGGCTGCGCCTGCCCTGTGCTATCCCCACATCTCACATGGGTGCTGGTGGAATGCTCCCTGCTGCTGTTTCCTTGTGAGATGTGCTGGGAAGGGGCTGTGCTTTGCAGTCTTCTCCATCCGAGGCTGAGAACATCATGGGGGCTGCTCTGGTTTTTATCCAGAAGGGAGAACTTACTTATCATGGGGATGTTGGGACATGGCCAGAGCCCTGCTGTCTCAGCCATTTGGTCCTCAAAGGTGCCTCGTCTTTTCTTTCAGACCTTCATCTTCACGGATGGGGAGGATGAGGAGCTGAAGAAGCAAGCACGTGAGTCCCTTTGTGTGCATGGGCTGAGTGCGTGGTGCCTGGGGCTGTGCTGGAGTCCTGCCCAGCACCCCCGACCAGGGGAATGCCAGAAAAAAAAAAAAAAAAGTCGAAATGCTGCAGTGTAGACACGGGGTTTTATGGGGACGTGGAGCTGGCAGCCGCTCCCCGGGGTTGGGGTCAGCTCAGCCTATTCTCTCCATGCAAATGACTCCTTTTCAGGCCGGGAAGCAATTCCCTTTGAGCTGGGCAAGCAAATAACAGGTGGCCGCTGTGGGAAAAAGCAGTGGGAACAGAGCGAGGTTTTGGCTGTCACATCCTGGGTGGAGAAGCCGGGCCACAGGCATCCCCTCCTGCCCCTCCATTCATCCCCTGCCCATGCATCCAGGTAGCTGGGTCACATCCCCCAGGGTGATGCAGGGGGGTTGTACACAGCCCTGGTGTGTGGCTCGTGGCTCAAGCCCATTCCATCTGCGTCCGTTGCTCACCCTATGCCTTATCTCACATTTATCCAAAAGCTGCTTTTCCCTAACATTTGTCCTTTATCCTAAACAACGTGGCACAGAGACCACTGGGCATCACGGATGCCCTTGGGATCCCTCCCATCGCACCTGGGGTGCGCACAGTGAAGCATCCACATTTGAAAGAGCAGGATACCCCAGCACTGGGCTTTAACCCCCCCTGTCTCTTCCCTCAGGAAATGTCATCAACACCAACTGCTCAGCTGCGCACAGCCGTCAGGCCCTGTCCTGCAAGATGGCTGTGGAATACGACAAGTTCATCGAGTCTGGGAGAAAGTAAGGAGTGCCTGGGTCTGCCTGGAGGGGGTCAGGGCTGTAATTCATCATGGGGTTGCGTTTTGGGGGTTGTAATTCATCATAGGGTTTGCATTATTTGGGGCCACAATTCGTCATGGGGTCAGGGCAGCCATTGCAAGGCAGGGAGCTGCCCCAGCCTGATGGGACACGGTTGTGCTGATGCCACAGGTGGTTCTGCCACGTGGATGATGACAACTACGTGAATGTGAGGACACTGGTGAAGCTGCTCTCCAGCTATCCCCACACACAGGACATCTACATCGGGAAGCCCAGCTTGGACAGACCCATCCAGGCCACTGAGAGGATCAGCGAGAACAAGATGGTGAGGGGGGCACATGATGGGGGGGGGACCCCAAGGCATCATCACTCCATGGCATTGGAGGGAGGTTGGGTTTAATTTGGGCTGGGCTTTTCTTCAGCAGGAGGTGGTCTCATTGCCTTTGCTCCCCTCTCTCGCAGCACCCTGTGCATTTCTGGTTTGCCACGGGAGGAGCAGGGTTTTGTATCAGCCGAGGGCTGGCGCTGAAGATGAGCCCTTGGGCCAGGTAAGAGTGTTGGCATTGCTCTTCCATGGGGACTCAGCGTGGTTCCAACGGGGCACAGAAGAGCGACAACACCTTTAAGGACGTTTGAACATGTCCTACCATTTTGCTCTCTTTGCCTTGATGGGGTTTTCTGCAGGGGCTTGGAAACAAGCTGGGAAGCACCTCCATTCCCCCCAGACTAATTGCTTTTTAGTCAGAGCCTGGACTCCATGGGGTGCCCGCATTCCCCTGGGCTTTGCTCCTCTGCAGCTCCTTTTGTCTCCCCACAGTGGGGGCCACTTCATGAGCACCGCGGAGAAGATCCGCCTGCCTGATGACTGCACCATTGGCTACATCATTGAATCTGTGCTGGGTGTGAAGCTCATCCGCAGCAACCTCTTCCACTCTCACTTGGAGAACCTCCACCAGGTGCCCAAGACAGAGATCCACAAGCAGGTAACCTGGCCCTGATAGCCCTGGGATGGACGGAGAGGTTGGGATGGAAAGCACCTTTGTATGGTTTTACCCACTGGGAATTGGGCGTGTAATGGGATTTTGGGAACCTGGAGCAAGGTCCCAGATGAGCAGGAGTGGTCTGGGCTGAGCTTTGGTTTGGGCTACTCAGCACACGTCCCCCAACCAAGTGCCCTACAGTGAGGATTTTATCCAAGGTTTGTTGGATGGGTTTCCTTTGGAGGGATGAGCAAAGTGGGTGTCCCAGTTATCGTGTGATAGATGTGCTTCCAGACAGTCAGTGGTGAGGGAGAGTCTCCTCCAGCAGCAGGACCAGGGGTGAATTTTGCAGCCCTCAATTGATCCCCATGGCTGCACCACCAGCTGCTTGACCCCCTGTGTTGTTCCCCCAGGTGACACTAAGCTACGGCATGTTCGAAAACAAGCGCAACTCCATCCACATGAAGGGAGCCTTCTCCGTGGAGGAGGACCCATCCAGGTGAGATGGGGGGGGTCCCATCCCGCTTCCCCCCAGCAGGAGCTCCCTTGGGCTGTGCCACCGTGTGGCCATCGCCACTGCGTGCTCAGCATCCCCCTTCTCCTCCTCAGGTTTCGCTCTGTGCACTGCCTGCTGTACCCCGACACGCCGTGGTGCCCCTCCAACGTGGTGTACTAGGAGACACGTGTCCCCTCCCAACCTCGTCCCGAATCTCCCCGGTATCCGACGGGCGTGCGGGACCTGCGTGCGTGCAGGTGTGTCGGTCCTCCAGATGGACCTCGTTGCTGTGGTATTGCACAGTGTGTGTGTGTGTGTACTGAAGGCTGCTGTGCGGCCCTTTGTCCCCTGCCCACCCTGCCCTGCCTGGGGATGGCGAGCGGGGACGGGTCCTGAGCACTTAACCCCGGGGCACGGGGTGAGCCCCTGCCCGCCGGCAGCCCCGCGCCATGCGTGGGGAGCGCAGCTCTGCATCCCCCCGCCTAGCTTTTCTTGATTTCCTTCCAGACGTTGGTTTGTTTTTTGGTGTGTTTTCCCCCTCCCCCACCTCCCGGCTCTACCCCTTTCCTCTTTTCTAGCCCCCAAGTCTCAGCATCGAGGCTCCGGCTCCTTGGTCAGGGTCACAATTTTACACAATCTCATTCCTCCACGGCCACAGCAAATGCTAAGCCCAGTGCCAGCATTCGCACCATTCCCCGGAGCCCCCTACATCCTGCTGAAATGTTTTCAGCAGCGTAAATCTATGCACTATTTATAGAGACCAATTTAAAGACTTTCTATAAATACGGGGAGAAGAGGGAGGAGGGCTTTTCCGGAGCTGTGTGTGCACAGCACTGTTGTGCCTCCCCGCTGTCTCCTTCTGGGCTGAGTAGGGGCATCCCACACCCCAGCACATAGCATTTGGGGGAGCCATGTGGGTGCCCCCCCAATCTGTGGGATTGGAGCATCCTCCTGCGGGTGGGGGCTGGAGCACCTGGGATGCTTGTGTGTATGTGTTGTTTCCCAGCCTGGCATTGCTCTTTGGTGCAATGGGAGTGTGATAGGCACCCTAAAAAGACAGCCCCCTGCCCCCCCACCCCCCAGGCACTGCCATATGTTGTCCCATGGTTGTCTGGGCAACCTAAGAGTGGGTTCCCACATTCCCAGGTACAGCCGGGGCAAAACCAGGCTGGGGAACAGTGCCTGGGAGCAGTGTTTGCCGTGAGCCAAGGATGGATGTAACCCACTTCAAGGAGGGTTGGTGACTCCATGTCCCCTATATCCCTCTTTGTGTCCCTCTGCCTCCCTTTGTGGGGAGGATCAGGGGGAAGAGCCGGAGCTGGCATTTCCAACCCAAAGCTGAGTGAAAATGGCCCATAATGGGTGCGTTGTACATATGTTATTGTGCCAGTATTTTTTTTACTGTGCCTTTTTATAAAAAGAAAAAAAGAAAAAAAAGAAAAAAAAAAAAAAACACAACATGGAGAATTATGTAGATTTTAAGATGCTTTTTATACGTTTTCTGTGGATCGGAAAAGAAGAAAAAGACAAACAACCTTCTGATAATCTGTTTAAGAAAGAGAAAAAGAAAAAAAATTGCCATGTCTTGTAACTATCACTTACCTTAATTTATATGTTCCAGTATCTGGAACGTCACTCTGTGCTTTTTGTAAGTAGGATGTGTCTAAAGGCGATAGCTGTGGGATGGGGAGGGGGTGTGGGCAGCGCGTTCTCAGGGACGTGAACCCATTCGCTGCCGCCGTCACCAATAAAGCAGCTTTGGGCTGACCCCCGTCCTGCTCCCGGCTCTGTGTCTCTGTGTGTTGCGCTGTGCGGGTGTTCTCACGGGTACGGATCCACCGAGCGGGGGTCATCTCCTCTTTCCCATCCCCAAAAGGCTCTATTGGGGTTTAACACCTCGGGAAGGGCTTTTCCCAGGCTCAGGGTTGGGAAGGAAGGTGTGAGCCGGCTGTTGGCGGGGAGGTGTGAAGAGCTGCAGGCGGACGGCCGCGTGGGAAGGCTGCAGGGGGCTGCGGGGAGAGCCCCTTCCATACAGCACCAGCCATAGGAAAGAGCCTTCAGTAGGGACAGCATCACATCTGCTCCCCCCCCCCCCTTTCCCCACCCCACTTCCTCACCCAGCGCTGTTTGCGCTCAACCCGAGCGGCTTTCATCTGCGAGTCATCTTCTCCTTCCTCTGTCCCCCGCCTTCCTCTTCACCCAGCGTCTCTATCACAGCTTTCTTTTTTTTTTTTTTTTGTCTCGAGCCGCACTTACTTTCCAGTTTCACTCAAACTTCTCAGTTATCAGTGCTAAAAATACACCCTGGCAGGAAATCAGCGTGTGCTAAAACACCTCACCCCGACACACCCCCGCAGCCCCAGGATGAAGAAAGAGCCCCCAGACGGCCCTTTATTGGGCTGATACGGGCAAAGAGGCTACAGGAACCCCCCAGACAGCCCCTTTCTGCACTGTGCCTTCCCTTGGCTGTCCCAGTGGGGCACCCGGGACAGCCCAGCACCTGCCCTAAGCACCCGTTTCCAGCAAAACCCCAGCTATGTGCTCCTGCTCTCCCTCCTCTTCTTGCAATGGGGGAGGCCCAGCAGCAGGTTGGAGCTGCTAAGAGTTAGGGGGTGGGCTGCACAGTGCCTGGAAGTGGGGAAACACCAAAACATAGAAACAGAAATCATTAAAAAAAAAAAAAAAAAAAAAAAAAAAGCAATGAAAGCACCCAGCGTGCCCTGGGGAGCAGCGCAGGCAGAACACAGCGGCCTCTCCCTCTTTACTCGTGGGCTGAAAAGTAAATAAATAAATGCATTAATAAATAAAAGGGCAACGAAGCCCAGCCCTGCTGCTCTCACATACTTGGCGGCTGCGTCGGGACAACCCGCTTTCATCTGTGCTGCTGTGGGACGGTGTGGGACGTCCTGTTTATCCTCAACTGCTGACAACTCAGTCAGAAGGAGTGAGGGGACAAACCGGGCTGGTGGGGACACAGCTGCTGCAGAGGGACCGCTGCTGTGCCACCGCCGTGCCCCAGGGATGCACCAGCACTGGGCTGGAGGCTCTCCTGGCCCTGCAGGGAGGATTGCAGCGCTGAAGGCAGGGAGGAAGGCTCTGCGTTAGTCATTTTTGCTGCTCTCTCTCATCCTCTCCTCGGAACACACACCCTTTTTTTTTTTTTAATTTGCATTTGGGTCACTTCATGTGCTGGGCTTTGTGTGAATTGCTGCTTTCCCAGCTGCTGGCGGCGCGGGGGGACTTGTGTTAGTGCTGCAATAGGACAAGAACTGCTCCTGGCAGCAGCCCCGGCGAGAAATATTTGTGAATCGGGACGGGAGGGGTGGCAGGAGACGGGGAAACTTGTGTGAATCCTCTCCAAGCTCCACTTCCAGCCAGCAAACTGGGAATGCTTGTGGGAAATGAAGATAAAAGCAGATGAATCACAGGACTCGAGCAATGCACACATCAACTCCTATCCATTCATCCATCTATCCATCCATCACCCACCCACTTGTTTACCTACCTGGGCTGGACGTTGCCCATGCCAGCACTGTGAAATCAGAGCCTGTTGATGGGACAGCTTTCCCCAAAGCAGCGCCCTGCATCTCCCACCTCCCCCTGAACATTTTTTGCTGTTTCCCACACCACATCCCTTGCAGATGATTTAAAAAAATAACACTCCCAAGCCCTCCAAAGCGTGTTTTTCTCTTCCTGCCTCCTAAGAGCAGCCGTGTCCCTGTCAAAACCAATTCCCCTCCCTCCCCCGGCTGCTTCTGGTTTGCCTCAGCCCAGCGCTGTGCTCCTGCAGCCACAACGTGAGCCAAGAGCGGAGGAGGAGGCGCACGGGAGATGAATTGAGCATCTTAAACACAGCTGGGAGCACTTCCCACGGCACTGCTGGACAAAGCTGTGGTCCCATTGTAAAGCTCCACTATATGACTCTACTGTATAGCCCTGCTGTATGGTCCCACTGTGCAACCCTGCTGTACAGTCCTGCTGGGATGCTTTTATTGAGGGATCAGCTCTGGGTTTGTGTTTGCCCCCATTAGGTGCAGGGGATCACAGTGACAGTGCAGGTGATGATCCAGTTATGTCCCAGTGACAATCTCGTGCTTTTCCAGAGCCAACACATGAAGGACAAGCTGAGCATGGGTGCACTGTGGCCAAAACAGGCACTGACTCCACCCACACTGTACTCAGGGCTGTGAGCACCTATCAGACTGGCAGACACAAGTCATCTTGGGGGGGTCATGGGGAGTTGTTGGGGGCAGTGCCTGCTTCCAGCTGGAGCATCCCATCCCACCCCATCCCATCCCACCCCATCCCATCCCATCCCATCCCATCCCAGTCCCCCAGCAGCTGCGTTCAGATCATCTGAGCGATGATTTATGGGGTAAGAGCATCCCATGCCGTTCTGTTCAGCTGGTGGGAAAAGGAAGGGGGGTTGGAGCAGAGCCCGCTCATCACTACGTCTGCAACACCTCTTAGGTCCCTGCACAGCTGGGAGGGATTAACGGCCCATCCTGAGCGCTGAGCGGGGATTTCACCGTGGGCGCTGAGGAAAGCGCATCCTGCGGGCTGCTGTGCCCCATGGAGCCGGCTGGGGGGGTACAGCCCTGCAGCCCGCACTGCTGCCTGCTCGCTCCTCCTGTGGCTGCCTCCGCCTCAAAGCTTTCCGATTGCCGAGTGCAGGACTTCAGCATCCCCACGCGGTCAGACAGATCTGGTTCTCCCCGTTCGGGGAGCAGGGAAACCGGAGCCATGGCAAGAAGAGCGCGCAAAGACACTTGAAAGCATCTCCCCAGGGCATCCCTCTGTGCCTTATCTGCGAGAATGGAGATCTAACGGACCACTACTGAAGGCTGAGCAGAGGGTGATGTTCATCTAAACACGTTCCTCACGCTCCCCTCCGTCATGCAGGCACCAGCCCTGCCTCGACCCACGCAGGTGAGCAAAGCCTGCCGGGCACGGCCAGCTGCCAGCACTGGGAAAGGGCACGGGCTGCTCCCATTCCTTGGAGGATCACCACCTGGTAAAATATTCACCCGCGACTGCCGAGGGCTTCATTTTCTCTCCTGCCATCAGTTGCATGTGGCTGCTCCAAGCCCAGTTTAATCAGCACGTGGATGGAAGACACAGATGCTTCTTTTAGAGGGTGAAAAAGCAGAGGAGAGGCAAATCTGTCAATTATTAATGAAGGGAGGAAAACTGGTTTCTGGTGGATTCACATCACAGAATCATAGAATCACAGAATGGCCAGGGTTGGAAGGGACCTCAAGGATCATGAATCTCCAAACCCCCTGCCACATGCAGGGCCACCAACCTCCCCATTTAATTCTAGACCAGGCTGCCCACAGCCCCATCCAATCTGGCCTTGAACACCTGCGGGGACGGGGCATCCACAGCCTCTCTGGGCAGCTGTTCCAGCACCTCACCACTCTCTCTGTAAAGAACTTCCCCCTGAAATCCAACCTAGATCTCCCCTCCCTCAACTTCAAACCATTTCCCCTTGTCCCACTGTTATCTACCCTTTCAAAGAGTTGATTCCCCTCCTGTCTGTAGGCTCTCTTTAGGTACTGAAGGCTGCAATGAGGTCACGCCGCAGCCTTCTTTTCTCCAGGCTGAACAAGCCCAGCTCCCTCAGCCTGGGGGAAAGGGGTATCAAGGTGAAAGGGACAGCAAAAAGCCACTGGCGTTTCTGCGCCTCACCAATGGCCTCACAACACACACAGCACATCAATAAATACTGCATTGACAGAGTCAAAGCCTCACTGAAGGATGCCAGTCCAGCCCAGCAGCTTCCAAAGCAGCGGTGTCACACAGCAGCTCCTGCTGAGGTTGGTACCCATCCTCCATGGCACTTCTCTTCCCCCTCTACCAGCGATCTCACAGCTCTGCTGCCTGCCCTCAGCCCATGGAGACACTGCAGTGCATGAGAGGTACCAACAGTTCAGGCAGGTTTGTGAGCAGTGTGAATCATTAAGTAGGAACGGTGGTTTTATATCGTTTATTTTTAAAACATGAAACCCAAGCTGAATAGAAACCACAGAAATTACATTTAGGGATTTTTTTTTGTTTGTTCTTTTTTTTTTGTTTTTTGTTTTTTTTTTTTTAGTATTTGCAAACCAAAAAGTTACAGTAAAAAATAGCTACATTACAATCAATAGAACTACAGAATTAAAAGTAAAGATACAAAAATGGGCTCAATCCTCTTTAACCCTCACAATTTAAAAACATTTTGGGTAAGTGCAGGAACACTCAAAAGAAACTAGCAGGTCCAAAGTTTAAAAAAAAAAAAATTATATATATTTATATATTATATATGTATATAAAGTGGTATGATATACAACCATTATGGTTAAGAAGTAAAACAGAAAAGTTACAAAAAGGCCAGGAACGTGATCATCTTTAGGTTTCTGTGCACAGTGTCCAAGAAAAGAACTGCCCTCTGAATGATGCAACTACGACTCGTGGGGCTGCCCCACTACTAAGGGACCTGAGGCAGATGGCGATGCAGCAGCACAGCACCCGGACCCAATGTGGAGGACAACAAATGGAATGAAACTGTTTGAGGAGCCCAGGGCCCTCAGATGCTGCTGGAGAAGCCTCTGTGTGAGATTGGAGGAGGAAGAGGAAGGAAGGTGTTTGGAATTGCATAGCGAGGAGCGATGTGGTATCAAATACGCAGAGCACCTAAGAGCTTCATGCTACAGTTCTCCTCTTCTGGAAAGGAGTGTTTTGAATGTTCTGGTTGCACGGCCTTTTATGTTCTGCTTTGGGGCTGGGTGAGCACCAGGGAGCTCCAGGCTCCGTGACAGCCCCTCTCTTGGGCAATGCTCCCCAGCGGGCTCAGCTGGGGACCACACTGTTCCCCCCAAAGCACAGAACGCTCATCAGCCATCCAGGCACTGCCACCAACACAGCTGATGCTTCTGCTGGACCTCCTGGAAGGAGTGGAGAAGCCACTTGCAGCTCACGCCTCCATCACTTCTGAAAAAGGAGAGCAGTTGGTGATAACAGAATCCATCTGGTTACAGGACAGACTCAGCCCTGCCAGGCCCCATCTCTCAAGGTGTAAAAGATCTACTCCTCAGAATCTGCCCAAGGGCTTTTCCCCTCCCAGCCCAAGATGTTCAGCGAGTTACACTGACTGGTTTTGGGGGGAAAGATGTTGGCTTCTCCTTGCTCCCCAAGTAGGAAGGGTTGCAAAGACCTGTCACCACCTAAGGGGAAACCCACCTAACCCAAGCCTACATCAGGCGGGGTGGCTACAACCAATAAGCCACAACACTTCCCTTCCCTGCAGAGGGCTCAGCATGTGATTTCTGTTGCTGCTAAAAGGAAATGATAGGACCAGAAGTTAAACATGGATTTATCCATACGGGGATCTGTACCTTGCTCATATAGGTATCCACTCACTCCTGCCTGCTAACACCTGGCAGCACCCAGAGTCCTCGTGAGCGATGGCCAAGCAGCCCCCTGAGAAAACATTTACTCTCAGGAAGGCCAAACTTTATGTGTGAACACAGCATATTTTTTTTAGGGAACAGCTATGGAAATCCTGACTTAGGAATCACTGAAATCCTCATGCACTGCGTTCTCAAAGCACTCACATGAACATCCTTGCATCGTGGCTGAGATGACCGTACACGGAAAATTAACAGCTATCAGATGGAGAAAACTTAAAAAGGACAGGAGGGGAAGGGAGCACTCCATCCTTCACATTTGGATACATGGATGCACGCTAAAAACCTTAGCTTGAACCCTTTTATCAGCACATAAAATGAACTCAGTTTAATAATACATACAGGATACAAACACTACAGTTATATTCCCAAGACAGCACAAGAAATTCACAGCCAAGTCTTGATTCGATTTCCTTTACAATTACAATGCAGTCTTGAACACTGGACACGAGAGTCCAACATGCTATTTACATTTCACATTGTGGAGATGTTCGTGTGCTTGGAAGAGTTCTCAGTTTCAAAAGAAAAAAGTCATTCACACATGATGATGTAGTGGAAATAAACCAAGCCAACCAGACAAGCCAATGACCACATTTGTGCTTCTGAAAAAGTAACATGAAGTGCCTTCAGCAATGCAGTCGCCTTCAGCTGGATGAGCCTCCCTCCTTCCACAGTCAGTGAGGTGTCCAGAGGCCAATCTCAGCTCCCCTGAATTCTGGACCCCTTTGTCAGCAACCAGTAACATGATAAATGTTCTGATTAAGTCAGCTGGGACACACCAAGCGATATGGCCTTGGCATTTTGTCACATTAAGAACAAAGACAGGCAATGGAAGAGAGAGAAATCTCTACAGCTTTCCCTCCTACAGCTCGAAGAGTTTGGACTCCCTCAACCATGAATGCCATCTAGAACAGATGAGTCTTTGCCAGATAGCACCTGCTGTTCACTCGAGAGGGAGGCACATAGTCTGGAAGATCTTGGCTTCTGAGAGTCCCCTCCTCAGACAAAATATGACCATATGGATGAGACTGATTGTGTCACAGCCATAGGAATAGGCAAAGGCCATCTGTTCTTCAGCAGATCTACTCAGACCAGCCTGCAGAAATGCCATGCTGTTGCTGTTGCTCAAGGTTCCAGTAAAAAAAGGAGAAAAAAAAACCAAGAAGAAAAAAAAAGAAGAAAAAGTAATAACAATACTAAAAGAAAACCAAACCATTTGTCTGTGTTTCCTATCCAGCGCTCTGCACAGCATGCAGCGGGGCAGCAGAGTTCCAGGATGCTTTACAAAAGTGCAATATCCATGTCAAGTAAAGGAAGTGCTGGCTGGACAAAAGTACACAGCTCACACTGCAGTCAGGTTATGCTGGCCTCCAGAGAGCAAAATGTCATCTCCAAAACACTCTTTCCAGTTATATGTTGAAGTCAGAGAGCACATACCTCCACATCTGTGCCTTGCTGCAAGCCCCAAGTGTTGTCAGAAGTTGCTCTGGGTGGTAAGGGTGGCTGTGCTGAACCTCGGAAAGAAGCAAGTCAAGGTGGCTGCTGCATTAGAGGCTGCAAACAAGAGGCACAGGCTTCCCCATTACCTCTGCTGCAGCAGGCAGTGCTGCTGTGACAACTCAGATGCAGCCCCTCCCGAAGTGCAGTCACACACACGTTCCAGATGCATTCTGTACACAGCAGAGGCAATATACAGAAGCACCTGTCTTCACAGGGTTCCCCACACCCTCCAGCTTCCAAAACACTTGCCTTCAGGGAGTGGGATCAGGCCACAGATTTAGGGCACCTCCCCCCCCTAAAAATGGCAGCCTAAGTTGCAATCTGGGCACATCCTTGAAGGGACAGAACAATTTGGTCTTAATCAGGACTATATGCATCTTGCTTCTTTCTTCAAAGCAAGGGGAAGGTCCTGCTGCTCCTGGATAGCAATTCCACACTTTGGACCCTGCAAGTTAACTATGCCACTCCTGGGTTTTCCTCTAGGACAGGGTGGAAAATCTGGTGTTCATGAGCCACAGTGTCCCTCCATACACCCTGCAGCACTCTCCCTGCCCTTGTTATTTGATAACACTGAGGTATGTTTCAGTGTGAAGCCCATCAAATGTGTCTGAAAGGCCTACTCAGTCCTGAGCAAGAAAATCCTGCTTCCAGAGATTTACGGTGAAGTTTTCTCCCAAATCTTATCCTGTGATGCCTCTTCTTCCCTTTCCTTCTCATCTCTTTGAATGGTAAAAGCCTGTATTTTTTTTCAATCTGTTAGTCGTTTATCTTCTCATGAGGAGCACAAAGCTTCCTTTCCACACAGCTGGTACCCTTTCACAGCAAATGCCATCATCTCAGCTACCTGCGAGGAGCAATTCTTACCTCACTGCAAGAAGGCAACTGACTTAAGGAAAGGCAGATCGGTAGATTTTGCGCCTCGTACAGCAAACGTGGGATCAACACACCCTGAGTCTGAACGTCACGGAGGTGAAGATTAACTGCCTCTGCCAATGGCTCAGCTCCAGTTTGAGGGATATTTCCCACTCCATTTCTTCTGCCAGTTACTTAATGCCACACTCAGCAGCTACACTAAGATGCCCCTGCTTAGAGGTAAAACGAACTGAAGAAATCACAAAGGAACATCATAGTTTCCCCACTGGAAGGTCATTACTCTACAGTACTACCAGCCTATCGTGAGGCAGACTCCTCTTCCAGTAGGAAGCTGACAGTGCCTGTTGGAGCACTGCTCTTCAGTGGGAAGTACAGCACCAGTGGAGGACGTTGCCCTTTGCAGGCACCCAGCTGCCCCTTTGCAACCTTTGTTCGGCCTCGTAGCTAAAAAAAATGCCTGTGTGTGCCTTAAAATGGTCAGATAGTGGTTAGCAATGTGCCTTGAAAAACAAAAACAAAGAATAAAAACATGTTCTGACAGTCACGACGTTATCCAGATGGCATCCGGGCTTCTGATTCTGAAGCACAGAAGATATACGGATGATCTTGTGAGTTTGTTAGGATTGAGGCTCCAAAAGACCTCCTTCAGTGCCAGTTCAGCAACCCTGTGCTGTAAGTGGTGATAAAAAAAGAAAACGAGAAGAAAGTCCAGCAGAGTCCACAGGTCACTCCTGCAGGGAGAGCTTGCATTTACTATGAATCCATCGGTGCTTGTAGCCCCTCTTGTTTTCACAAGCTGACTGTCCCATAAGACTTAGCATCAGAGAGCTGAAACTCTTTAGTGCAAAAATCCCCACCACAAAGTCTTTTCCTGGAAAAGTTTGGCACCAAGTGGGTGGTGGCTGGCTCATGTTTGATCTATGTCAGCCTGGTAAAGGCAGCACCCTGCTGCAGAATGCCATCTGCAAGTACCTGGGCTTCCCTGATGGAGCAGAGAGGTCAGGTTCAGAGCAATGGACAGGATAGTTAAATGGTGCTGGGATCCTCTGCTCCTTCTCAAGAATTCACATACTAGCTATAGTGGAAAGAAAAAGGCAATTCTTAGTGGTTTAAAAAAAAGAAGTTATCAGGGTAGTGGAGTGCTTTTTTTCCCTAGAACAGAACCACAGGCTCCCAGATTACAGTGGATATGCAGTGACACTAAGAAGCAGGGGTTTCCCTTCCCCTACACAGGGCACTGGACCAGGGGGGGATTCCCACCACGATGCTGCACTGCGCATCAACTCAGCTTCCCCTGGTTGCATGTTGTCACAGACACCGAGCCTCTGCCTCTTCAGCATTTGACAGACTGAGCAGCTCTGCTGATCCCACAGCAGAAGATCTACCGCCATCTTTCACCACATTCCTCTGGGGAACTGAAGAGAAAAGATATTCACCAATGCTTTTTACCAGGTTGCTCCAATAAAGCTGGCCCCAGGCAGGTGGAGCCCAGGGCAGGCAGGTAAGCTTTCAGCTGCTTTGCCTGCACATGCTTGCTCTCCTTGTACATCAGGTACAACAAAGTGAAGGCTTGAATTCAAAAAGGACTTCCACTCCATTGGGCAGGTACGAAGTTGGAGGGGTGTTCTGAGCTGGAGAAACAGAAGGAGCTGCACTGGATTTTGGGCAGAACAGCAGGATTGTTCTACGAGGACAGCACAGGGGCACAGCAGTTGGCACATTGTTTTGTCTGACTGCACAGGTGGGTTTTTGTTGCTGTTGTTTTTTGTCGGTTTTTATTGTGTTGCTGTTTTTCTTTCTTTTTTTTTTTTGTTGCTTTCGCATCTTAATGCACATTGCCAGCATCTGGACGAGGTTGGTTGGTGGCGAGGTATTTGGCTCTCATGCTGGAGGTGTACTGGAGGAAAACAAGACAAGAAAACAACAAACAAACAAAAACAGAACAGAGAAGTCAGAATGAATAATGTTAGAACAGAACAACAGATTGCAATCAATTCCCAGCACAACATTGGCAGCATTTGCTGCATATCAAGGAGCTGTTGGCTTGGTCTGACAAGGAAAGTTTCACAAGTCACTGTGTAGAGCAACATGCTGGTATAGCCTGCTGCAAGGATACTGGCCAGGTCAGTGCACATGGGCTAATGATTTATCCAAGCTCTCTATAGAGAATGAAGTCCTATAGTCATTGAGTCAAAATGTGCCATATTTCACTTGGAAGAAGAAAGGAAATGGAAATGATACAGATGAAAAACCCACCTCACACTTTCATCCTCTTTTAGTCACGTTGATTCTTTCAACCATGCCAGAAAAGGAGGTTGAAAAGAAAATAGGTGTAAAGTTCATTGCATTTCTCTGCAATGAGGTTATCAGAAGATTGCATGCATCACAAATGGACACTTCAAAGAGAAAGTGTGGAAGAATGAATCCTTGTGAACAATTTAAGCCTGAGAAAGAACAGACCCCACCAGACTGGAAACAGGCTGCCAACCAGCAAGATATTAGCTATCTAATAGTTATCAGGTGGTTAATTATCCACCATGGCATGGGATCCAACCTGTGTGCCATGCAGTGATAGACAAGACTCCAGCTTGGGGGTGAGAAAAGAAGCTCACAGAGGTGTGAGGTGCCTTTGTTTTGGGGATGCTTTATAATTTTTTATTCAAAGCAAGATAATCCCAAACAGCTCCCAGAAGCTACTGAGGCTACATGCCATCCAGCTTTGCATACTGAGCTGAAAAGCATGCAAATACACTGCAGTAAGAACAAGAGACTCTTTCCTCTTTGTTTCAATGCGTTCAGTGCTTTGATCATGGCCATGTTAGTGCTTCTGGGATTCAGCTGCCACGATACTCCAAACCAAGCAATGAGGACAGGTGCTTTTTCCTCTTTTTAATACCAGCAGGAGCTTGAATAATTCTGTAACATCCACATCTTACTTCCCAAGAGTGCTCTTCAGCATACTGACTTATTATCACCTTTAAAACTGTACCACATAAAATAGCCAGTTAAGCTGGCAAAGAGACAACTGGAAGGCAGTTCCACACCAGGAGCTATGATTTATCTTGCCCACTGGGAAAGAACATTATGAGGCATCCATAGGCTTTCAAAAGCCTGGCTATTCAAAGGAGGTTTCGGAGAATTAACAGCATTTTCAGTTTTCCTTCACAGACCAAACCAGGCTGAACCTCTGTACAATAGAAGAGAGATGCTGCTCCTTCAGCAGGGCTGACCCCATTGGCAGAAGATGAAGATACCTGGGGCGTATTTGCACACTTATCTTTTACTATCTTCCATAATGGGAAAACTTGCTGCAGAATGGGGATCTTAATATAAAACTCTGGCCCAGAAACAGCATCTATATTTAGAAGACAAAGGCTATACACATTCCATCTCTTTTTAAGATTTTTTTTTTTTTGCCAGTGGGAAAGAAAAGGTAGAATATGCCAAGCTGAGCCAGTTTAAGGACTATATTCCATACAGTTTATGAAATACAATTACTGTTTCAGAAATGAAGTTTAGGGCATTATTAAAACATGAGACTAACCCAGCAGGTTCAAAGAGGCTTAGAAGTCAAAGAATTTTCTCATAAGATAAGCAGGACACATTCAGATAGTATATTGTTGAAATCTCCAGCCAAGCATCATGCTAAGAAGAGCATCTTAGAAGGCAAAACTCATTTGATTGCTCAGTTTCCATTTGTACCCCATATGCAAAGCATAGTAGGAGACAAGCATGAAAAGAAAATCTGCAGTTGTTAAAGTTTTGCAAGATGTATTTTGAAAAAAATCTTCTAGGATCATGGAAATCCTATTGATTCAGTGCACAACTCGCAGCATCAATTTTCTTTAGAACATTAACAATCAAGATGGACCTCTTGATGAACCACATTTCAATAATGTACCCGTTGTGGAAAGAGAAGTTGAAAAGAATTTGCTCCTTCCTCCCCAAAGGAAAAAAAAAACCAAACAGTCAAGAAGAATGCATTTTTTACATTCAAACCTACCTGCAAGCCACCAAAAGCAACAAATCAAGACTCAATAGTCAGAGTTAGGGCTGATGTTCTCTCCTTAACTCAGGATTTTTGTACCTTAGAACCTTTTCCCCTTACAGTTTGAACCAGTTACTCCTTCTGTTAAGGATATTTCTAACGGCCGTGAAAAGTTGGGTTGAAAATTGGAAACAGAACTAGAACTTCTGCACACCTCTTATAACCAGCACAGCACAGCTCCACAAGCATGCACCAAATATTCAGTAACTACATTAGGCTCACTGCATGAATGCTTTGCTCCACATGCTCTCAGCAGCAGTCTCTCATCTAAGTACTGTAGTGCATCCTTTGCTGTGAAGCAATGAAAAGATGCTGTGGAATACACAGATCCCAACATCTGGACAGGCCAACAAATGAAGATGTGTCAGCAGAAACTCGCCAGTCACGTGGATATGAAACCAAACTATACTATTCACTATTAAAATAACTTAGACTTTAGCTTCTTTTAAAAAAAGATCAAAAGACTTCTAAGCCTGAGCACAGGTTGGAGCTAAGGAAGTCTTGGTCTCTGCTCTCAGGTGACCTGGATACGCTGCCTGACACAGCCATCATGCACACAGTTGCATTTAGTTTCCTTTGAAGACTTGCATAGAAGGCAAAGAACATGCACAATGCATAGATTGTTCCAGTACTCAGCAGCCAGGTCCTATATGCTCCCTTATACCCTTTTAAATACAGCAAGGAGGTCAATGCCTTGTCCACACTGTTAGCTACCCCAGGCAGAGGGCCTAACAGACTTCTTGCTGCTGTTCCTCCAGGTGGCTTGTGTTAGCCAACACAGCACACCTCCCAGGCACTTACCAGTCAGCTAGGACAAACACAGCTGATTGCACAAGAGTTTATTTTGCATCTCTTGAAAGAAAAAGAATCATTCACATTTAGCCTTGTTGAGGGCATAAACTTTCATAGGTATGGTTAGTGAACACATAAGAGTGAGGTGATTGACAGAAGCAGCTTGCATACAAAGGAATCATTTGTTGCAAAAAATACTAATAATGAGAATAATTGGTTAATTTTAGAGACGATAAATTCTACCAAGTCCTGTGAACTGTGCAGACTGTGAGTACTTCACTGCTAACAGAGCTGCTCTGGAAGATCACTTACCGTGTGAAACCACGACTCCAAGTAAAAACCATTGACTATTTGTAGTTAAAATAAATACATCTCTTTGGCTACCCTGACTTTGATTTCCTGCCAGAGCTGTTTTAGTAAGCCAATAAAGACCAAAGTTTCTGGAGTCAAGTTCTTAAAGGTTGATCCACCTCTCAAATAGCTGCAGCACAGTAAACACACAGGGTTTGGTATCGTTATGAATGGGAGGTACAACATGGAGGGAAATAGCCAATTCCAGCCAGTGGATTCTGAATTCAAAGAGATTTAAGTTGACCAAGTCAAAAGAACACCATTTCTGTTTGTTTTGTTTGTTTTTAAAGTCTTGGAAAGAATGCAATGGCTTTTTCTTAGCCCTGCAAACAGCCACATTAACTCTGGGTGTGACCTTAGGGAAACAGAAGACAGTAAAGACTGAGGTCATGTTCCAGCTCAGGGGATAATTCAAGCCCAGTATAAAGACCCTAGAATTTTCCCCCACCAGGCAGTATCTTATTTCATGGGATAGACTCATAAGCAGTTTTCTGACTTTGCTACAGTACCACCTGCAGGAAGCAGAAAGACCACCATGAGCCCAGGAGCAGTCTTTACAAGGCTTAAAACTGAAGGAAGATGTGACCCTTCCATAGGTTCCAGCACCATGCTTCAAGACAGGTTTGTGTTCATGCACCACAGCAGAGGGCACTGAGACATCCAGGTCAGACAGCACGCTTCCCAGCACGTCACAAGACAGGCAGACAAATGGCAAGAGGCAGCAAGAGCACAGACCAAGCAGCAACGTGACAGAAAGGAATCCAATGCAAGGCTAAGAGAAGTCCCAGCAAGAATAGCAGAAATGGAGGAATAGCAGCTTTAAGGACACGTCTTCCTGGGAACAGAATTAAGATAGGGGGTCATTGACTGCACAGGCCAAAAGCAATAACCCCTTCATTCCAACTGGAACCAGCACTTTCCAGTCACTGCATGGCTGTAGCTCCCTTGGGGGAACACGCTGTCCTTTACACCAGGTGAGCTGCCTGGAAGCTTTCATTACACCCCCTATTCAACCAAGCTAAAAACTCCAAGGCCTAATGCAGACCACCTACTCCTTCTGTATGCAAGTGGCTTTCTGATGGACTACTGTGAGGGAAGACACACTGGCTATCTTGGAGACTGTCAGCAACAACAGCACATTGAAAATTCAGACAGTGAAATGATGCTAAGGGGGCTCTGTTCACAGAGCCCATGGGAGATGGATGAAATGAGTTGGACATACACAGAACAAACAAAACAGTAAAAGGTTTTGAAACAGAGTGAAATAAATCTTAGTGCTTATGCCTGGACCCTTAGGGAAGTTGTCCTTTCTGACTCTAAATGCAAGGAGAAGCTGCACACAGATCTCACAGGCACTGAAATAACTCTTTAGGACAGGCCACCACTACCAACCAGAGCCTTTCAACAAATTAAAAATCCTACTGAGGAGCTTAAAGCACGTGGCAGATAAACATCTGTGGTTTGGGGCACACACTGCTGCGAGCAGTCAATACAAAAAGAACAGCAGCAGGGATCAAAGGAAGCCAAAAAGCTGAAATAAGAGAACTGGTCCTGACTGAAAAGCTATTAGATTGGTTCTTGCTTTAAAGCACCTTCTTGGGATGGGAGAACTTCTATTCTGCATTTAAAGTGCACCACTAATTCCACATTTAAGCAGTGCTCAGGACTAAGTGTTCAAGCTGTTCTCCAGTGTGCACTCTGAGGTAAAGCAGCCATGAGCAAGCTGTTGTGAGGCACGGGTCTCTGTAGCCATCACATCGAGCACCAGAAGCCTTTCCAAGGTTAAATCTGCTGCTTGAGTCTGCACCAGAGCAAAACTAAGTAATTTTAACCCTTGGCAGGAGGGAATGGGGTGGGAGGTGCAGAGGAAAGGAATGTGAAGAAATAAAAGGCACTGGCCTGGGATAAACAGTGCAGGGATGAGGAGTGGTTGGGAGTGGAGAAGGGGTTGAGCAAGAAGGACCTTTTTGTTTCCAGTACCTGTTCCATTTGCGGGCGCTGTTACCAGTATGTCCGTGCACTGTCCGAGGGCTTAAGCTGCCAGCTCATATGGCTGCTACTGTCCATGGCAGCCAAATACAACTGTGATGACGCAAGAAAGAGAGAAAAAGAGAGCGCAGCCTCAACGTGCATGAAAAATACAGTGCAAGCAAGTGAAACGCTGTGGTGTGTGTCAGTGACAAGGTGGGCTCTACAACCCTAAAGGAATAGCCCTGTGGCAAGAAGGAGGAAAACAGAAGGAATGAGAAGAGGGAAAAAAACAAACAAACAAAAAGCCAGGAAAAGTAACGGACAAACAATGAGGCAGGATCATCACATCTCAGTTCTCACCATCTGTTCTCAGAAAGAAAGCTAAACGGAATGCGTCAGCTCTGTGCACTCACTGGATGTACCCTATTTACATGGTGAGCTCCCCTTCTCCCTCCCAGTAAGAGGCAGAGATATGAGCATTATTACCCTCCTATCTCTCTCCTTCCACAGATAATTCGCTACAAACAGGTCGTGCAAGTTCTTCTGCCTCCATACCATCCCAGCCACCTACTATGGAGAGCTGTGGATACAGAAAAGTGCCCCTCCTCTGCTGACTTGCTGTACTGCAGGGCTGTAAAAAGGATTTTCTCTCTCTCCACCTATCAGTCTGCTCTTCCAGAAACCACACTTATCCTACAGCCCGTTCCTCGCTTCACCGAAGCAGCAGCTCAGTTGTCTACAGGAGCAGCAACGTGCTCTTCTCCTTCCCCTGCTCATGCACATCCCTATAGACCACACAGACTGCTGTCAAGTCAAGTTCCTCTGCAAAAATAAAAATAAAACCTCATCTTTATCTCCTCCCAGAAACCAGCCTAAGGCACCAGGACTTGGTTCCCCTTTCAGGGTATTAACACAAACAGCTACTGAAGAACCAGGAAACATCTTGCATAACTAAAGCCCCTGCGGAAAGGAGTGTGCTTTTTTTTCTGAAGCAGAAGAGCAGTAGGGGAAGGGGAGGCAGGACCTTGGCCTACAGACACAGAAGGAACATATGTCTTGGCAGTTCCAGAGGGATAGTGGCAGGAAACACCAGTGGTAAAGCAAGCTCTTGCCACACCACACTGCGTGCAACACGTCAGCTCTTCTGAGGACTGTGTCATTGCTGAGAGCAGATAACACTACCAGAACTTCTGTTCAGAACACCAGACAACAGGGAAAAAAAAAAACCTATTTGTATTTCTAAGAAGGTTGCAAGAGATCCAGCCAACTACCAAGTCAAGGATCACCTTTCCACTATTCTGCTTCATCTGTGGCGAGATGAACTGGTCATTCTGAAGTGAAAACATGAATGTGATTATCCCCCTTCCCACCACAGTTCCTACTCCTTCCTCCCCTCCCCGTGAATTTAAATCGTGTGCCACTGAGCACATTTTCTTTGCCTACACTTGAAGACTGGCTGATTACTAATTATACTACTACTCAACTCTGCAATCACACCAAGTTAGCAAGCACTGCGATGGCATGTTCTCCAAGTTCTGGTGTAAGTAAGGTTCACAGGATATCAAAACCTTCCATGAATGTGGGTTTTTTTTTTCCCCTCCCCCTCCATAGGAAATTAAATACAAAAATAGCTTCTAAAGAAAGTAAAAGAGTTGTAAAACAAAAGATTTAAAAAAAATCTCAACAACAACAAAAAATATAAGTTTCACCCCACTGTCTCTTTAGGGCAAATTAAGGAGAGAGGTTCAGCAATAACTCTGAGCTTACTGCTTCAACAATCTTCTTTTTAAACTTAAGGAATCAGTGCAGTGCCAGAGATAGCAAGAATAATGCATGCAAGTGAATCATCCTGCTGAAGTCACCCACCAAGACACTCATGCATTTCAGTGGTGGCAGGACTGGGCCCATAAGATTACTAATGTTAACAGATTTAGATTTATTGTTTTGATGTGCAGTGTCAAAGGTAGCACAGTTAAGTTTTGCTCTCCGTGGCAGGTGAGACGTGGCTCATCTCTACTGCTTTGATTTATGGGCCAGATCCTGTGTTGGACTGCACAATCAGCTCCCTTGAGAGTATACAGAAGTGGTAAATGTGTATTCCCCAAAGTCACTGAAGCAGAGAGGAGCAGTAAAGAGAGACTTACTGAGGGAGGTGGGGACTCCCGGCCAATGAGCGGGGTATTCTCACAACGGGGGTTCTGGAAATTTGCATTCTGGCTCCTAGGAAAGGAAGACACACATGGTAATGGGGGTATGTGCCACGCTTCTCCAGGGAAGGTCTCTGACAGTGACATGGGACAAAGCACAGCACCCCCAGAATTACTGCAGCAAATCAGTCTCCCTCAAAGCTTTTCTTACAGGCCAGGTGGATCCCCTTCTTCAGTCACAAAATCTGTGCTCAGGCGAAGGAAAATAACGCTATCTTTACACTCTTACTCAGAACAGCCCACACTGAATCGCATCGAATGAATTAAAAATAGGTTTGTGCGAAAAATCTGCCTCTCTACAGACACAGAACTGCCGAGCTGCGGAATCAGAGATAAAGTAAGGACAAAATCTAAGGCAAAGAACAAAACGATGTGCCAGCCCGAAAGAGATGGGCCCCAGAAGGGAGTCAGAGAGCCATCAGGGTTCGGCACTTCTGGAGAAAGCTCTGAGGGTCCCACCTGGACCAGGCAGCTCCAGACTGCAACAAATACCAGAGCTGGCTTCAAACACAGGGAAGGAAAGAGCCTGCAGGTTTTGCTATGGCTCTTGGTCTCTAAGGAGGCTTAAAATCTTCTGGCAAAACTGCTCTGTCTGAAGAGCTGAGCCTCAAAGGGATCGGAACCATTGTGCAATAAGGAGCCTGGACAACACTGCTTCCCTTTTCTGTGGACAGATGTCTAAATCTCACAGTACAAAGCAGTGGCATTATTTTTGAGTATGCTGCCTAATACAACCCTTTCTACTGCAGTACTTCTAGGCTATCCCAGTAGATGCTAATCAGAAAACACGCCTTTTGATATTTCAGACAGAATCCTTTATCACTTCCACTGCTTAGTTGAAAGTACCAGCCCTACAACTACAAAATTTGAGTGCAGCAACTTGGATGAGATGCAATTCAGCCTTTTTGTCAGTATACTCACATGTACTCTGTGACGGGAGCATTGCTGACTGTGTGTGCTGCTGCTGGAATGCTGGTCTCACTGCCATAACTACTCCCACAGCTATAGAGGCTGGGCATGTGCACTCTGTAAAGATTATCGTGTGTCTGTCTGCTCCCCTGAGCAGCTGATTCTTCATCCCCATCATCATCTGAGCTTCTGCAAGAAGGAAAAGAAGTTCCTCCTAGAACCCTACAATTACCCCACACGCGGGGTTTGCAGGAAACCATGGCAATCCTAGGAACCTCCCAACCATCCTCCACGCCTCCACATTTATACCCAGTTGGGATGCCTCAGGGTGGCAGTGTCAAACACAGCCTACACCACTGTGACTCAGACCTCCCACAGATGCCATCTGGACTTTTAGATTGCATGATCCCCTGCAGTCTCCCTGTGGTCTTCTCCCAGGGCTTGGCAGACAATATGGTTCTTCAGCTGCTCAGTCACATAACCAAAGAATGGACATGCATCCCAAGAATACACAGCACTTCAGAAAAAACATACGTAAAAGAGGTAGTAAGGATCTACTGCCAGGCATTCTGCATAACATCCTTCAAACTGCAGTCTGTCCTTCCATTCCTTGCAGCAATGTCCAGAGGGCTTTTAAGGATAAGATTCTGAACTTCCATTATGGTTGCACAGTGTCTCCTTCAGCATCTAACAAAACTTCACAAGTCTCCACATGTATTAAGTTCAACATTTGTTTCTAGAGCCTTTCTTCCCTCAGAAAGGCCAGGAATTTAAATCAATTTTAATACAGAGCAGAACTGTTTGCAAGCTGATTTCCTTTTCCCCTTCCCATATCATTCTTCTGTCTCTTCGAAATAACACACACTATTATTTCCCTAATTATGGGATGAAGTATCAAGATCTGAAGTACATTTTAGTGATACTGGACAAGACTAGAAAAACACTCAATGTGAAACGTATTGCTGCTGGGGAGAGACATGATGGGCATCACTAGAGCATCACTAGAGCATCCCCACCACCACTTGCAGTTTCTGCACCACCAGGTGGCACTGAAGATTTAATCAGGGAATTGCAGCCTGTACAGCTTCTTACAGGCAAAGTATGACATCCTCCACCTCCCTGAGGGAGCCAGAAGCAGCAGCAGTGCTCCAGATAATGCAAGAGGGAATCTTTCAGCTCACAGCAGCAGCCAGAGCCTGCTGGGGCTGATGGCATGGGCAGCACGAGTGATAACACTGTGTAAATCTCTCTCCCTCAAACAGACTGCCGTTCTCTTCTTGAAAACACCTCTACAGCTGTATGTGGAAGAGCCAGGGAAACCAGCCATTTTCTGCAGCAGTATTCTGACACATTTCCCAAGGCTTTCTCTGTGGGCACTGCAGGCCTGGCGGGCTCTGGCTTCCTACTATTGTTCTGGATGTTCCATTTTACTTTGAACCTTGAGCTTAGGCTCAGACCACAAAAACCATGTTTCAGGGCCACAGTGGAGAATTTGCTGTACAGCCTAGTAGTTTTCTACAAGAACAGAAAATCTAAAGCAATTTTAGTAGCTGCATGTGGTACAGCAGCCAGTTGCTGAGGCCCCGGGAAGATTTGCTCAAGGCTTATGGTCAGCCCTTAGCATCATTAATAGTAGTTCCAAACAAGTCTGCTGTTAAGTGATCACCACTAATGTGCAAGCACCTTATCTGCCCATGCTATTGCAGACAAGACTGCTTTCAACTCCTATTAACTATGCAAGTCAGTTGCCCTAGTGTTAGCAAAGCCAAGAAAGGCAAGTGTGAGCTGCTGCCCATCCTAGTTCTCTTCCCCATACTAGAACAAATGCCAGAGCAATGCAAGAAGAGGTACTGTACAGAGAAGCACATAGTTCAAGCATTTGCCTTTCTCTATAGCTGTAATCATTCATCTCTGACTTGCCTCTAGTCCTACAGCGTACTGAATACTCTTTACACGTAGTATTCCAGCACAGTAAAGTTCAGATGTAAATATTAATCACAACCACAGCAAATGCCAGCAGTTTTTTTCTCCTTTGGACCTGTGCTTAAGAAGGCCTCATGCTTGTGGGATCACATGGGAAAGTGCTCCAGATGCTCATGGGCACAAATCCAATAGCTAGGCTTCGTTAGGAAAAAGCTCTACAACACTACAGGTTCTAAACCCTCTCTATACCTCTTTTGCTGCCAAGTGTGTGGGACACTGCACACAATGGAACTGAACATGAGGGCTGTGACAAAGGAGAAGAGAACCAGGTAGATGAGGCCTTCCACTCCATCATAGCAAAAGCCCGTCAAAGCCTGGACGTAATCCTGGAGAGAGAAATGAGCAGAGTTTCTTGGTCACTAGAGAGTTAACACTGAGTTCTAATTCAAAAGCCTTCCCCCCAGACCACGTTCTCTGAAACAATCTAGTTCATAGTTCCATCTCCAGAGCATATTTTAATTTTAATTTTGGAGACCTCCAGTTTTTTCCTAACTTCCCTAACTTTTACCTCTACTCACAAAACCCAAAGCAAATTTAGACATGGCAGTAAGAGATTAAAGAAAAAAAGAAAAAGTCCAAGATAAAACTTATCCACCCAACTAAAGTCACCACATTTTTCAATAAGCCTCTCAGCTCCTTCCCTGTCCTACTGGCCAAGAACACAAGCATGGATTACCTATTTCTATACTTCCAGAGATGCAGCTAGGGCAATAGTTTGATCATGCTTTGCTGCAGCTATAAGGCATTTCATGGAAAAAGCAATAAGCTATGAACTATGGAAACAAGCTTAGGGCCCCTTAACCTTCCAGTTGCAGCTTGCAGATGTAACGAGATGTTGTTATCTGGTTTTCTACACTGATCTTCAAACACAAAAATACAAAGCTAACTTGATCCAAAATCCCGTTCTCCTTTCTGCTGGAGTCAATCAGTAAAGTTGTTACAAACTGTTTTGGCACACCAGAGATTTGGAACTCCAGAATAATCAGCACGCTACAGGCTCTACACCCACTTAGTGCTTTCTTAATGCAAGCCCAGTTACTGAGTACTCACCAAATGCAGACTCCGACAGTCTACTAAAGCTGTCAGTTGCTGCAAGTTTATCTCTGTTGAATTTAGAACCTCCTGGATCCGTGCAAGATACTCCTGTAAGCAACAAGCCCAGTGATTATTACATGGAAGCAGCTTTGCAGAACCTGATACTGGGCTATGTACACAGGTAAGGAAAGTACAGGGAGAGCAAAACTGAGGAGTTACCTTGGCGGTGGGATGCTCTCTGCTCGCTGACCTCATGAGTTCCATAACATCATCTTGCATTTCCACCAGAGCCTTGTGACTTCCTGACAGCTTCTGCTCAACACAAAACAGTAAGTGTTTCAACAACTCAACTCCTGGGAGTTAAGACTTAAATCTTGCTAGCAAACACTGAAGCATCACCTATACAAATGCTTCAACTTCAGGAAATCGCAACTGATACATATTCAGTTCCAGTAACATTAGGTTCTACTTTTACTAAACTGAAAGAAGTACAAACAAAACACACGTGCAAGCTGTGGCCAATGCCAGGACAAAGGGGCAGGAGAAAAGGCAAGACAAAGCACTTATTCTCATCACAGCATACAGATGGATTTTTCTTCTCAGTCAGATGGCTGAGAAGGGATCAAATAATAAAAACTGTTTTCACTGGGGTACAGTTTTCACACCCCATTAAAGCACCCATGGGAATTTCACATGCTATAGCATGTCAGGGAGCATACTAAGGAACCAGAAATGCAACTGATAGCAATGGTGCACAACCTGAAGTGTTCTTCCCCCATCCTTGAAAACAGAGGAAGATGAGATTTAAAAAAAATCCTAATTATAAACTGAAGCAGCTGGTGTCTGCTGCACAGTGGGTGGTGTGGGTTCATTTTGGCCTCTGATACAGAAGACAAAGTTTGGGATGGGCCCAGGTGCTGTTCCTCAGCCCCCACACGAAAGAATAATGACTCACGTTTATACTCCAGGATGCAAACCCTTGAACATCCAAGGGATTTAAGAGGCATATGTGAGAATTGCTCCCCCACCCCACTTCGTTTTGGGAGCGGAGTGTTGCCACTTAAACCAAAAAGAAACCGCATGAGGAGATTCAAAGCAGGAAGTCTGCAGGTTCCCACTCTGGCATGAATTGTGGGTGCTCTGCCTCCGCATTGCTGCTCTTAGAAGAGTGCTATGTAAACAGAGATACCATGAACAAAAGCCATGGTCCTCACCACATCGCATACAGCTCCCTCTGAAGGGCATCCTAGACCATACAGGCAATAGTGATGGTGGAAAACAACTGCTCGCTACATCACTTGCACAGCTGGAAAGTAGGTACCAAAGCTTTACCAACAGGTGGAACGTTTCCTACAGCTAATACCTTGCAACTTGCTGCTTGCTGGCACCAAAAGCATTTAACCCATCCCCTGTGAGAAGCAGGATGCTGAGAAGTGGAGAAGGAAGGTGGGCACCGTGCTCACACTCACCTGCTGGAAAGGGTTGGGGTATCCAGTGCTGCAGGTGATGTAATAGCGGAAAGTATCTACAAAGACAAAAGAGAAAGTCACATTAGTGATGTTGTTCCATTATTGCACTATTTTATGGCTACCACAATGGAGGTGTTAAGTCCTGAAAGCAATAGACAAAATGAAAGTGTAATGTAAATGAAACCACTTCCCTCTCTCTAGTGCATGGAGGAAACTAGAAAAAGGAACGTAAGCCATTTTTGGGTATAAAGAAAGAATTGTTTTCTGCTTCCCACAACAAAGACTATTTGTTGTTTTGGGTTTTTTTCCCTCCCCTTCAACAATAAAGTAGTATGGGGCTTACATTGTCAGAGGAACCATCAATACAAGTTTTGTTCAGAAATCAGTTTTACTCTTAGCATAACCAGACCTCAGTCTAGGAGAAGCCCAACTGAATGTTTAATTTCTGCAGCTTTTGAGCATCAGAATACCATTTTGTGGTCACTGAAAACAACCAGAGGTAGGGACTGCTGCCTGGGATATACGGTAAGGACGAAACTTTCAGCCAGTTCCATTCACCAATGAGATCACTAAACAGCCACAGAAACACTGGCACAGAGAGGTGCCAAAGGTGATATAAATACAGGCTGCTAACTAAAGAACCTTTGAAAGCACACCGTTGGGCCAAGGGAGGTGCAAACACACATCCCCATTCTACCACACAATGCTGAAACATAATGCTTCCTAAATATACAAGTTCATGTGCTAAAAAAGTCTTCCAGACTGGGGGCTCAAAGGGGAGACTGGTTTTAGAGTTGTGTAGAGGACATAAGAAAGCCCTCCTAATTCAAAACAACAACCTGTAGTAACCTATCACTTCAATATCGTTTTGAAAGCAAGAAACATCTTGGAATGTGCCGAGGAAAGAAACGGATATAAAAAGAGTTCTCATCTTTCTGGCATGCACTGGGGATGAACGAGTAAACAGCAGTCTGTTTTCTGGTGGATGTCACTTGCATGCAATTAGATTTTAATTAGGAGGTGTCAGACTACTTAGTCAGATGCATATAATTTCTCTTGCAGCTTTCTGTGCTGGAAAGGTATATTCTGTATTAAATCAGTAGTGCAGACTGGGCCAGGAAAGAAAGCTGTTATTGGGATACCAGCAACAAGGCATGATCCTTAACACTGAGTAGTTCTATCAGACATTGCAGAGCACTGAACACGTACTTCTACACACGAGTACAGACAAGCAGAGTTAAAATGCACTTCCTAAGGCATCGCCTATTTCCAGGCTTGAAGACACAGCTTCATTTCTCCTCATTCACCAGCCTGGGGCCCTCAAGTGCCCTCCATAATACACCACCAACTGCCTGGACAAAGTCAGCACGCACAGATTATGAATCTTAGGCTTTTTCCCACCGTTCTATCATTCTCAATTGTGTGCTATAGAGGGAACAAGCGTTATGACAGTTACCAGTCCAGTACCTTGAGATTAACACTCATTTACAGTTCTCTTCAGACAAATGAGAGCACATCAGATTAGCAAAACCAATGGTGAAGTTTGCTCAGTGAAGAAAACAGCAGCTTGAAAACACACATACCACCTTCTCTCCTCTCCCAACACCTTTTCTCCCATTCCCTTTAATCTTCTATCCGTGGCTCTCAGTAACAGGTATTCCAGGTTGGAAAAGTACTCCAAGCACTCCCAGCTCAGAAATGAGCAAAACGCACAACCACGAGCGAGCAGAGCTGCAAAGGGAATAGACCTGAGAGCATCCCAGCTCTGCAGCACTCCCCATAAATATTGAATGCACCTTTTGGCAAACCGAGGCGCTGGGAACCGAGTGGTGCAGCACAGGCTGCCAGCTCCCATGTGCTGTGAAGCAACCTGACAGCTGTTATTTATAATTCATTAGCCGACTTTGGGGCAGCTCTGCCAGCTGCTCCACCTCCCCCTTCCCCCACTAGCTCCTTTCTTTGGGATGATTTTGGCCTCCTCTAAAAAGCAATTCGCAGAAGATGAGCAGATTGGAGGGCAGTGAGAACTGCTATGTGGGCTTTGCTTTGCAAGGACCACACAAAGTGCTGCGTGCAAGCATTGCACCAACGAAAGGATTGCTCCTCTGATGCTCAGTCACCTCCCCAACGGTGGAGGAGAAATGGTTAAAGTGCCCCTGTGCTTTGAGAAAAGCACAGCAACAGCACCCCGCAGTGTCACACACAGCTCTGATGTTGGCACTTCTTTATTTTACATCAACAGACTACCAGAAATTGCACATAGGCTCCCACAGTGGTATCAATTCCACATCATCTGTATAAGTGCATTAAGTTCCCTGACCTACTGTTATACATGGCTCCAGAAAGGTTTCTTTAGGGCCTTCTGGATTGCCCCGAGAGTGCAGATCACTGATGACAGTTCCCAGTATAATCACAGTTTGCAACTTGTGAGCCCAGGCTCAAGGACTGCTGGCTACAAGTGAAGTAAAGCAGAACAGTGAAACAAATGCATCCTTTACTCTGGAAGACAAAAATCAACACTGCTACACTGCAGTAACACCGGTACTGCAGCAGACTAGTGTGGCATTCTGTACAGAAATGTGCTTTCCAAAATGGCACAGCCAGCAGGAGCAGCTTTCCCCTGCACTGAACACAGCGTGCTGATAGATGCACAGCTTTAAAACTGCTTTAAATCTACAACAGGCACCGAAGCTGCCTTGATGCAACCGCACAGCCTGCTGCTGGAAGTCCTTCTGACTCTCACAGTGCACAGGTATTATGGGAGCAGAAGGCAAGGAAGGGAACTATCTAAAATGCTTCATCTCCACAGAATCTGTTTTTCCTCGAAAGGAAACTAGAACTGCCTCCTAAAGATGCTTCATCTGCTGGAATCTACTCGTTGCTTCTGCAACCATGGAGACTTACTCTTCATTTCAAAGCTCAGCAGAAATGTGAAAATGGCATTATGCACCTGCCAAAAGGCAGCAAGGAGATCTGTAGGGTAAAGAGCAATCAGGAGAAAAAAATACATCTTAGCTTACAAAACAAAGCCTAAGCCTCAAACAGTTTTTCCCACCATTTTTCAGCTCTATTTGAGCGTTCTCTACGCAGCCTGAATTTTATATTTACACCCAGTGAGAGTGCCTCTGTATGTTCAACCAGCAGAGACAGCTGAACTATATTGCCTGAGATGTCTAAGAGGAAGGAGATTCTTCTGACTCGATTTTCTTGCCTGCTAGTTTGTCTTCTCCCTAAGGCAAAGAGATATACCTACATACCAGTTATGTTTCTCTTGGATATACTGCTGGTACTGGTGAGAGCAGACTGATGTCATCATGAGTTTTCATGAAAGAGCTGATAGCCACCCCAAGTGCCCTCCACACAAAGCTTTCTGCTCATCAGGAGCCCAGCAAAACGACGTAGGAAAACACAGCTTCTGGCCACCAATATCAGCTCAGAATGATTCTCGAGAGCGTTTCTTCAGACAAGATCTTTACTGCTGTGCCCACACAGCCCAAGCAGTAACAGCACAGCCACCACATCCCCCACATGGGGTTTTGTCCCAACCTTAGATGGGAAAAGGTGGTGGTGGTGTCAGTTCCCTGGGTCCTTCAGCACTGGGCTTCTAAGATGAGAGTAAAGAGCAAGAGGCCAATTAGGAGGCTATGGTGGTTAAGGGTGCTTGCTGTTTTTATCTGAGCAGCCAAGTTGCAGCATCCAGTTTGACAAACTCGGCTGGGCTGGAGCTGAAAGACTCCATTATCTGTCCCTGGAGGTTTGCAGCTCCTTCAGCGGAAGCATCTCTTCACAGTGCAGATTTCCAGTAAGAGAATCTGGAGAAAGCTCTTCCTGTTGTTTAGACAGACTGCCTTCTGATTTAATTTTCTTCAATAAGTCATCTAATAATAACATAATATCAATGAAAAAACGACGAGGCTAGAAGATGGCCTCCTGCTTTGAAAATAAACATCTTGGCCGCACCAAGTCTTTTTGCTAGCAGCAGGAGCTGATTATACAGCCACTGTTCAACTCCATTGGCTTTATCTCAGTTAATGAATACTGGGCATGTTAGGCACATACATCATCCATCCTCTTCTGCAAAATGATTTAAACCTCTCTTCTAGGAAACCTGTGTTAAGGCTTTTTTTTTTTTTTTAAATGCAGCACATTTTCTCTACAAAACAAGGAGAGCTCCTCACCAGCTAAAAAACATGACAACAACAATGATGCACTTAATCAGATTATGCTCAGCTCCATTAATTCTATCTAGATTTGCAAATGCAATTAATATACAAACAAATGTTAACATACTAGTTGCCCAGTATCCAATGCTGTTATTTTTATGGGAAAAAAATACAACCAACAGTAAAAAAAGCATTGTAAATACAGAAACCTGGATCGTTCATCTCTAGTCTGAACGCCAGAGTATAAGACTGGGAATATTATAAGACAAAATGTCTAAAATCAACAACTAACAAAATTATTAAAAGGGAAACATTGACCTAGCACTATAAAGCCTGTGGTTGGTTCACATTTAAGGTTACTTGCTGGTTCTTAAGTGCCCTTAAAAGCAGATGACAGCACCCAACCCAGTATCTTATACCAGCACCATTTCAGCTGTGTGATTCCCAAGCTAAATGTGGTTTCTGCCTGTACAGCAACTCTCAACAGACTCTTCTTCCATGAACTATTTGAGTCTCTCCTTCAACTCACACTTTTTTTTTTAACAATCTGTTTTCTGAACTGAAAAATTCACAATAGGTTGCACTCTGGTGAAACTAAGTGGAACAGCCCAAACGTTTCTGCCTCATCCATCCATACTGCAGCAAATGAGTCTGAGTGTGTGACAAGTCTGAGCACTGGAACTGGGATCCTTCCAGCAGGGCAGCTTCCCCTAGGATGACAGGGCTGCTTCTGGCTCTCAGCTGCTGATCCTGCATCCTTGAGCTTGTCCCTCCTGTAGACAGAGCACAACTGATCACAGAGCAGTTGCCACAGTCTACAGACAAGTGTTTTAGAAGTCTAAAGTAAATGCTGGCATCTTTTAATGCTATTAGAAGAGCCACTGTTGAGGTTAGAGCATCTCTAAACAGTTCCACACAACAGTCCTTGCATTGTGGCCTTTCTTCCTGCTCAGGTGCACAGGATGTTCCACAACATGGGGGTCCAAGAGTTATTTCCATAGCTTCCTGATCATAAGAACTCTGAAAATTCACATGGGAAGGCAGAAAATATGATCACCTCCCCACCAGCTGCCCAGTGCTACGGCGGGGTCAGAAGGAAAATCAATTTCCTTCTGAAAAAATAAGGAAAGGTGCTTGTGAATGCTGAATGGTTCCTAGCAGCAGTGAGCTGATGTGCTGGCAGCCCTCGAAGAAGCCACCCTTCCAGCTCAGGCCAATGACAGCACCTGCTTTTCCTCTTTCTCAGCCCCATTTGCTGTGGAGCCTTAGCAACTGCTATAGCTGGCAGTGCTGCTGGAACAGAGCCTTATTTCACTCTGAGAGGTGACTGACCCTGCTGGGGAAAGCAGGAGAAGGGATGGGGATGCCAGACCCACAGCCACCCGATGGGAATGGTACTGATGAGCAAAAAACTGCTGGAGCCAAGCTGGTAAGGGCAAAAGAAATGGAAAAGGAGCAAGGAGGGGTGTTCCTTCAGGTTCTTAGGGTCAACCAAGTTGTTACTACACACACTGATTTGGGTTATTGAGTTAATACAGCATGACTGCCACCAATGTTCAGTATTTCCCTTTGGCCTCCATGGCCTGCTTGCCTTCTAGAAAAGACGAGCTGCTACCTGAAGTCACTCTTGTAACAAAGAAAGGATTTTCACTTCACACAATGCATTAAACATTTCACTCTCTTCTCTTAATTTCTTTGTTACAAAGATCCTTCTGTAGTGAGCTGCCAGGCTCTTCCCCCTCCCCTCCAAAGAATCAATAAATAAAGCACTCCAAGAATAATCTGCTGGGTGATAATATCAACCTGTATGCATGTACTCTCTCATAATACATTTTGCCTCCAGACATCAATATTTCTTATGGCTTCCAGTCCCTGCAGCCTCAGCCATAGCTACGTACCTAATTCCCTATCAGTTACCAAGTGCGTGGCAGTAACACCAGACCTTCAGTATGCCAGGCAAAGATGTTCAGGTTCCAACAAATGAGAACCAGTAAAGAATGTGGCTTAGATGTGACACAAATCAGTGTCACAGCTTATTTGTGTTTTATCATCACAGAAATATATAGAGGGTCTATCAGGGAGAAAACAGGGTAGGAGAAGAGGTAATTTTGTTAGCCAAGAAGCAAAATTAGTTCTGAAAAGTACTTTTCTTTTTTAGTACCTGTCTCTGCTGGTGAGCACTCAACCACGTTTGTGTTATGCCACAATTCTGAATATTACTTTTGTCCCCAAGGCCCAAATTGGAGGCACCCCTCATCTCACCAACCACACCTCACCCTAAATTAGGAGTGACAAATACAGAATCCATCCATCAGTGCTTCAGTTAAATGCTGCTGTGATGCAGACATTTGGCTTTAGGTGGAACAGGGTAAACAAAGCAATCCAAACACTGCGTTTACAATGGAAAGGGAAATTCATATTTCTTTCCTGGTGCTTCTGTTCATTTACTCTTTAAATTAGTTTTCAAAAGACTCCTATTTATAAACACCATTGATACATGTATTCATTAATAACAAATATAGAAAATAAATATAATAGATGCTGGAATATAGACAAAAGAAAACCTAAAAGAAATGACAACTCAAACTACGAACTGATTTTGCCACAGTTCCATAATTTAGAAGAGGAGAAAAAAAGACCCAGGGCACTCAATTTAAATAATCCAGGGACTTCTGCTGATCCATCTTATCAGTTATTTTTGCCCGAGGGCCAGAAAGGAAGAAAGAATCGGAAGGCTCTTCTGGCAGAAAAATTACTATTATTATTATTATTAATGATGATAAAAGGATGTATGCATACACTTCTGACTGGTGTATAAAAGCATTTTTTTGAAAGAACGCGGGTTTTCCAAAGCTCCACACACATCTGCTTTTCCCCCAGCAGGCTGCTGGGAGCTGGGTACAGCCACAAGTTCCCAGCCATCGCCACACTCCTACGTGACAGCTGAGCCATCACACAGCAGTATCCGTGCCAAAGCCAGTTCCAAGACTTACCAGTGCTAAGCACTGCGTTCTCTTCAACCACTTTGGAGATGTAAGCATCTGGGTTAATGCAGAAGTCACTGGAGCCCTAGATAGAGGCAGGACAAAAGGGAAAAGGAACATCAAAGAACACCAATACAAAATAGCAGTTGAGCCAGGTTAACATCAGGGAATCTTCCACTGCAGGGAGGTTTCAGATGCTGAAGTCTCCCTGTCATTCCCACCAGTACAGGCAGCCTCAGCAGTGCTGGAGTACAAGACACTGCACCCCACCACTGAGGAGCTCTGTAATTCTCACAGATAAAGTTACTAGGACAGCTACCTAGAACAAGACACAATAAAACAGTGTGTAACGTACTAATAGCTGCTTAACCTTGTGTCTGATGAAACTGCAGCAAAAGGTGAATGGGAATTGAACCAGAGCCACTTACCACAGCAACAGCCAGCTCCAGACCCAAGGACCCCCAGCTGACAATCAGGGCAAACACCCCAAGCAAACACACCCTGTAAGAGACAGACAGACAGACGGCAGATGTAGAAACTCTCATTTCAAGCTAACCAGATCCTTTCACAAGATGCATTATCTGCAATCCAAAGTAATTACCAAACTCAAGAAATTAACAGTCACTACATTTTCAGATAAACCATCCCATTTTATGTGCTACAGACAGCAGCAACCAGAGAAGCTGATGTCCAGTTTTGGTTCCCACGCTTTTTGGCCCTGGGGGAAGCAGGAGGAAGACTAAGCTAGAAGAAAAGTCTTTGGTCAGCTCCTAGCAAGGAAGTCAAAAGCACAGAGGCAGCCAGGGGATGGCAGATTGGCAGATGAATGACTATCCTGTCACTTGGGTTGTTCTCACTGTGGACATTATTTTCTACACATGAAAGATACTCAGAGAACAATAGCCCCATGTATCTGTATAAAGAGAAAAAAGGGAACACCAAAAGCACACAACACATCAAAGCAAACTAACAAACAACCCATGAAAATGCAGCAATTGAGAATTGAGCAAATTCCTTCTGGTTCTAGAAGGAGGCTGTCTTGTGTAAAGCACTGTATTGCTTATAGATAATGGAGAGAATACTTGGCTGTGTTGGAACACCTGGCTTTGGTGTCAAGCTGTGTGCACCTGAACATCACCCAAGTACCCCACACAGCACAAAGAGAGCCAGGCACTGAATGGGGATCCACCGTGCAACAGCCACAGAGCCTCAGCAGGTCCTGTGGAGCACTCCAGAATAAAGTGGCCTACCACATAAGGACAGCACTGCTTGGTGCCTTCAGCTAAGCACAGTTACCTGTTCAATGTGACACACTTTTTATTTTCCTTTAAATGAAGATGACTGGGTCAGTAGCTGATTGCTTGGCTAAAAGATCTAAAACTGGCATTTCACCATCTTGCTTGGCACTGACACGCTTGCTTCTCTGTGCCATGTGCTCCCTTGGGGAAATGCCTTAATACGAACTTCTGGCAAGAGGGATTGAGTTTCTAATTTAAACTCTGGGTTTACCATCTGTGCATACACTTGGACCTTTGTCTGCATAACCTGCCAGGTATGAAGTCATCTGGCAAATAATAAATCTGAATATGCATTTCAATTATTAATGGTACCATCACGCACCAGGACAAACTCTTGGCTATGTCAGCTGTCAAACTGTCATTGTGTTTATGACACTGATATATTTGCCAAATGTGCCAAACTAAACCAAGCTGCAACACGGGGAGAGGATCACTTTTTTCTTGTAATGGGACTTGAGCGTGGCAGCATTTGCAGTGCTTTGTAGAAATAGATACACATTAATATTGCAGTAACATAGCAACAAGACTTCTTATAACTGTACAAACCATTGCATGTTCTCTGTAAAGTCTCTTCAGGTGTGACAAGCAAAGGTAAAGAGGATCAGATTGTGACACAAAAGGCATGCTACTAGGCTGTGTAAACACAGTGCTTAGCATCCATTAGCAAACGCCTTCACCACTATAGAGAATTAAAGACTTCCACAGCCCATAAATCTAAGGGAGGATGTTCACATTACTATCTCCCAGCTGACTCCCAAGCAAACAGAGGCTACCAGTGCTGCCCAGCAGAAGGCACACTGTCCAGATGAATTGCTTGCTTTTGAAATGAAAGCAGGCAGAACAGCATCATAGATCTGTACAGCTCCTTCCTGTGAAACCTCTCTCACATGTAGTCCTACTCCAAACCACAGAGCAATGCTCTACAAAGGTACTGCACAGATTTAAACTGTTCACCCTCAGAAGTCCTTGAAATCAATTGACAACAGAGTAGAGGTTTAAACTAGCAGGCACTTGCATTCCTTACATGCTGTACAGGGTCAGGACTTACCCCATAAGAATGGCCCTGGAGTTTCTGATCAGCCCAAAGAGCACCAACAGACATATCAGAACATGGAACAGGAGCAGGCCCAGGTATCCAAGCCACCTGCAGCAAATAAGAACACAGTCAGCAAAGGAAAACTGATGTATGAAAGGGACAGTTCAAGTAGTCCGAATTTCTCATGGGGAAAAACAAAAAGAAAACAAACTCAGCCCTTGTTTTCTTTGAACAGCCGCTGCTAATTATTAATTTTCAGAGGTCACTGGCTATTTGCTGTGTCAAGAGTCCAGGGAGGCAAATGCATTTAAACAACATGATTAGCATACACAGTTATTGAGAAGAAAGACCACTAACCTCATTCTAGTACAAAAACCACATGCTGCTGCATACCATCAGGTAAAGAAGCAGCACTGCAGCTTCCTGAACTTACTACATGTTTGTTAGAAATGCTTCAGTTGATTCAAAGGTGTGGACAAAGGTTTCCTTTTGTGAAATACAGTTGGTGTTATCTTTTATTCAATAACTTTAATAAAAAGAAATGATAGTGTGTGATGTTAACACGTGGAACAAGTTTACATTCCTACTTTATTCAAGTTAATGTGCCATACAACTTCTCTCCCTAGTATTAGGGCACAAGCAACCAATCTTTTACATTCAAAATATGTTTCCCTTCAGCTAGTAATCAACACTCTTAAGAAAAAAGTTGCTGTCATGCATTTTGATTTAAACTGAATGCAGTTTTGCTGTATAATGAAGTCAGCTGAGTGAATCAAGAGCACCTACAGGAATATACAGCCTTTGGCTCAGCCCCACAGGACACACACAACACATCACTGTTGCAAAACAAATACCACAATCACTATACTAACAGGGTGCTGCACACCTGTACCAGTCGTAGAGGTCAATCTGAATTGCCAGCTCCTCCAGAGACAGTTCTTCATTCTTCCAGAAGGGGATCTCAGTTGTTTGCCTGACCAGATCATCCAAGAGACTTTGCAGTTTCTGGATAACATGCAAGTGGTCTGTCTGCTTTGCAAACATCTCCTCCAGGATGAGCAAGTTTGGCTCTGCCGTTTGGTTCAGGGCCACTGTGGTATCTAATACCTATAGTATGGCAAAGGAAAAGGATGAGAAGTCAAGGAAGTAAAAGAATTCACCCTTATTAGCAAATTATGGACAGATTCCAGTTATTCTGTCTGAAGAGGCTCAGACTGCTTACCTTTCAAACCCCACCCATAAGCAAATAGTTCTGTATCTCTGCTTTAATGTAGTTTAAATGCTATTTTCCATTTCAAGATAAACAGCAGAACTGCACAAACCCAGAACACAGCCACTAAGGCTGGGAATGCAATTTTCCCCAAACGAGATATTCACCTTACTCCTAAAACAGGTTAAAATGACTGCAATCAAGTCTAGCAGAAGGACATCTGCTGAAGGTTACTGTGCCATGAGATTAAAGAGGTTAGTAGCCATCAGGGTTGCAGAAAGAGCTAATGAAGTTTGATGTAACACAGGAACAACCAATTGTGCTAAAGTGATCCTTTTTGCTAACAGACTTGCCTGCCTTGGCCTGCCTCCACATCCATGGAATAGAGCTGATCAGAAGCTGCTTTTAAAACAGGCACAATTGCTAAGAGAAGACTTCATTTAACGAGCTGTGTTTGCTTTGATATTTTTAGAAGAGCTGAAGAAAGCATCGCTCCATTAATGGAAATTTTAGCACATCTCTAAGCTCAGAAGCTAGCAAAAAAAAGGCAGAGATGCACGCACAGCCAGATTCAAGAGAAGTGCTTAGGCTGCCCATTCCCACACCACCCCTTTGCTTTCGTGCTCACCCGGTCTTGGACACCTGCCACAGTGCGGTTTGCATGGCGCAGGGAGTACGTCAGCCTGTGGATGCCATCACTTGTCTCTCCATTCCCATAGAAGCCAACAGCGATCCCAGCACTGCAGAGAAAAAAATGCAAAAAAGTTAGAAAGTTTTAGTTAAAGCTAAAAGGCAGAGATATAAGGTACTGCTTATCTCTACGGGTAAGTCACATTAGTTCTTTCATAGTCACATCAGAGACTTTGACAGAAGGGGATGCTGCACACCTCCACAAAGAGCAGCTGGAGGTAGTTATGCTCCCCAGTAACTGCACACAAAAAATCCCCTGTAAATATCTGTGCTCACTTCCCATGCAGCCAATAACTGCCTATACAGTACACATGACAAACCATCCCTTCTCAGTATGTATATTTCACTTATGGTCAATAATGGAAATCTGTTAAAGAACCATTAGAGAGCTCAGCCCTAGACATGGGCAAGTAGGAATCCAGCTAGTCAAGCTGCCCTCCAGTGGCTTCTGCAAGAGGAATGGGTGCTGCCATTGCTATGCCGCCAAACCCAAGCCTTCTCTGGACATGAAATACAGATTGTTTCATTATATTTTTAAGAAAAGAATATATAGAGCTTGCAGTGATACTTGTCCACAGCGGTGGATCTTCTAGATCCATTTTCCATGTCTTTTCCACAGTCTGATAGTAGATGTTCAGACTTATTTCTTAATTTATCTTCCATCAGAAGCATTTGTGTTGTATTGATTTAGATAATTGGGAAGTAAAGCTTAATAACTTACTGGGCCAAAAAGCTTATTTATTTTTAAGCAAGTGAATTTCAAGCTCATGGACAATTCAACTCCAGCTGTTTAGCAAATTACCACCTATCAGCTGATTTGCTGTAACTGTCCACACACATTAGTCCACTCTAATTATGAAGTAAGCCATATTAGCTTAAACCTTACTTATAGGAAGAAGATCCTGTGGATGAGTTACAACCAGGCAAGTCAGCAACACCTTTTTATTAAGGCATCACTGCAGGAACTCACCATTCCCCAAGCCCTTTTTTTCCCCTTAATAACAGGGGAAGAAAACACTTGTGAAGGGATCATATAACTAAACTCAGGGGAAAGTCAATCAAGACACCAATTTCCTGTTCTCATCTCACGTTTGGCTTCAGAGTATTCAGACTCTTTTCTGGGATGGTTCTCAAGACGCTAAGATTGGGCTACAAGAAAGGAAGGCAGTGGTGGTGCTGAGGGTGGAAGATAGGTTTTGGTTTTTTTTTTTGTGTGTGTGGGTTTGTTTGTTTGGTTTTTTTTTTTTTTGTATAGATTAAAGATTTCCTGGATTAAACAGTTTCTTCACAATAACTTTGTGTTACAGCACAGCACTTACAGAGGTGGTTTGAAGGAGATATGCAAGAGGAAGGAAGCAAGCGAGACAACAGCTTTCAGGGTAAGCATAGTGCCTTTGTTTTAACAGGGAGGGTCACCAGCACCACCACCACCCAGATGGGAAATGAACCCACACAGGCCAGGGTGGGCTTTGCCTAGCTGACAGTCACTTGCCCAGCATTGCTCTGACACATACACCAGCCTGCAGTCCAAACCACTGCTTCAGCTGTCACTCCTCTCCTGCAGGAACACAGCACCCAGCCTTCCTGCCCGTGCCTTGTCCCCCTCTTAATATTTGGTGTTAATACAAGAATGGAGTCTTTCTTCATAAACACTTTTCCTCAAATATTTTCATAATGCCAATGATGCCAATAATGAAAGAGAAAAAAGTCTTCTGCTTTGCTCCCTGGTGGCAGCTTCATACTGCAGGTGATGGGGATTAAGAAAACAGAAACAAACAAAAACAAGAAACCAACATTCCCCCACTTCTGAAAAATAGACACATCTCAGAATCTAAATTATGTTTAGGATAAGGCAACTCAGCATCTCATCACTGCGATTACAAACTTCTAGCTTGAATTTCCCTAGTCTTGTATCAGAGCCAACAAACTCAGACAAACCATTCTGTTGTCCAGAGCAGCAGAAAACTTCAGCAGCTGCTTTTACAACCAAACAAAACCCGGGACATTCCTGACACTGAATATGCAGATTCAGACCCTTTAAATTGTAAGCGATTTTATTCATCCCATTCCAGTTACCAGAACGCTATTCTTTCAGCACAGGCTGAACCCCACTGCTTGGTTCTTGGTATTCCAGCACAGCAGCACAGTTTGGTGGAAGAGGCTCAGAAGCAGCAGGTTGCAATCATTTTGTCCATGATACAGGTAGGTACCTCAGCCAGTGTACTCAGAAGTGCTAGGCATGCAGTGCTACCCATCACAGGAACTGACTTGAGACTCTGCCAAAGCAGAGGCAGCACTGCCCAGCAGCCATCCTCACAGGCTTTCTGCCCAGCCCTGCATTACCAACTTCAGCTGCCCACAGCCAGTTAGTCACAGCCATGACTCCTATAAGACAACACTGCAGCAACAGGAATTGGGGATAAAAGGCATTTAATTCAAATATTAACACGCATGCCATACATTCACTAGAGTCTACATGCAAGATTAATTACCACATTACTGCCCAGCAAAAGTCAGCACTGCCCTCACACCGTGCTAGGAAAAGCCAGGCAATGGGGAACTGCTGATATTTAGCTTTCTGTAAGCATTTGGCCTCACCTACATCCAACAGTTGTTTCAAATCCCTGCCTACACATACACACACAGGTAAAAGCTGCTATTGTTTAAAGCAGATTTAAGGATTTGCACTCGTTTTTAACTGTATTTTTATTTGATTAAAAAGAAACGGGGGCTCTCTTTCATTGGAGCTCAGTCTTTTAAAGTAAAAACAGATATACTTATCGTGACCCAACAGCATAAGCCCTGGAGGCCAAGACAGATCACATTTCCATACACAAACCCTGGAAGGTTCTGCAGCCTCAGCGATAGCAGATACCTTTTGCATGAGAAAATCATCACCCAATGCCTGCATTTCTGTCACGCAGCACGGACACAAGACCAGCAATCCTGAATGACAAAGCTTTTTTTCCACCCTAGCACCCTACGGAAGATACGACTCCAACACATTTTCAACACTTGTGTAAGAAAGTCATCTCTGCTCCTGCTATTCTTGTTCCTGTTGCGCTCCTCTCCCCAACACACACATACACATCACCTCCCAATTCTTCATCATCCCACCCCCAGTTCTTCCTCCCAGACTTACTTGTGTCAGTCCCCTGCTCCTCCCACCACCCCTACCTCTCTGTCTTCCTGCTCAATAGCATCTTTCAAATAAGAATCTGAAAATCCATCCTGCAAGCTTTTATGAGTCATTTAAGAAACAGTTCCTGCTGCTTGGCTTGCTCATTTCACTAAGTTTCAGGAAACCTGTACACATTAATATGAGAAAAATGTGCATTTCTGAGATTAACACTCTCATTCCTATTGCCTATGTACCATAACAGTTCTTTAAAGGGTTAAGCGATGAGAGAACGGCAGCAGGCTGTGACTTTTACAAATTCATACAGATGTATGACATCATGATGTATAACAGAGTATGATTTCAATTACTTCATGTTGCATACATACACTTCAGCACTGCTTTACAGCAAGGCCCAAGAAATTCAATTCTGCAGAAAAAAAACACACATTTCCCTGTTTTCCTGAAAAGCTCACAGCAGAATTTCCCTGAGGACACAGCCTTCCTATTATTTGCATGCAAGAGCTGTGTGAGCTTAGGACATGCCATGATAAAGAGACAAGAAAAAGAAATCAACCGCAATTCCAAATTACTTTGCAATGTCACCCACAAAAAAAATGTTTTATGGATTACACAAGGTATATATGAACAGCAGAGCATTAATCTGACAGGGAGAACATATTCATGCCTGCTGCTGTAGAGATCTTCCAGTCTTAACACACGCTACACACAGTGAAAACCCCTGTGGATGTTCAATCACCAGTCTGAAAAGATGAGCACTAGCCATTCACATCACATCTTTAGAAATGAATAATCTAACTACACCAAGTCAGCTTTAATTACAGGAACTTCATAAGGAGAGCCCTTTTTAGACTTCATGTTCTCAGGAGGAATGTTAATTTGTCTGTCTAATTACCACCTTGCACTTTAGCACCAAGGGAAAGTGCTATTACTGGCACTTGAGAAAGCAAGATTTCACCACCTATTTGTACCCATTTCTTTTAGGTATTCTCTCCAGGAAGCTTCCTACCTGCCTTCAGAGCAGAGCTTCCTTCTGGGAGCATTACTGTGACCTACAGGTACTTGAGGATGAGATGATTTATATGAGATGACAACTCCCCATACACAGAAGCTGATGGAAATTACTAAGGACTAGAAATGAACTCAGTTCAAGGAATAATCTAGGCAAGTCCTTCCTCCAGCTTTATGGTTCAAGCAATTGGGAAGACTCACCAGGGAGACAGTTTGCTGGAGAACTCCAGTTAACCAGTTCTGCCTTCCTGCTGGCTCAGCATCCCCCCTTTGCTCAGCAGGAAATACAGAGTCATTAGGAAACAGTGATGCACAGTGATGCAGTACTCAGAAGGATTCACAAACAGCCCTCAGGGATCACCCACAACTTAGATAAGCATGTATTAGGCATGGCTGGGCTCAAATAGAGTTAACTAGTTTTCAGCTAGGAAGCCAATAGTCCACTTCATGGAACTTGAACAGACCAGACCAGCCTGTCTGGATCCTCTGGCTGCTTGAGCATCCAAGCTACCTTTGTTCACTTGCAAACAGCCATACAAGCTGCCTCGCAGGTCAGCCTGCTGCCACAGACAGGTGTTCAGGAGAGCCTTATTCCCACTCACTGGAACGTCACAGCATCTGTTGCTCAGGCAGTTCTGCTGTGTGCCATGCACAGCCAGGACAGGATATATCCAGATGACTGATCTTTAACTCTTGGTATTTAACTGGGACTTTTCGCCAGCACAGAACATACTCCATGCTTGTTGGGAGCTCTTTTTGCATTCCCAGACAGACACTGAGTGCAGACAGCCCAAAGTCATCAGTTCAAGAGCACTGCCATGTCCAGCTGCTGGGAGAGGGGCAGAACACAGAGCTCAGTCCCACAGGAGAGCAGCAGCACTCAGGCAGCACTTCCAGCTCTCAGAGATGGCACCACCCTGCTATCACAAAACAAACCAACGTCAGTGGAGAACTTTTATAAAACAAAATGGACCAAAACAAGTATTCATGCAATATCACCGCAGATTCCAGTAGAATCTTAATTTTTAGGATACTCCTGGATTTAAAACTTGCTAAAACAAATGGTACACCAAGGATGTAAAGCAATTGGTTAGATTTAGAGTGAGCGTAAAATGTTTCCCAGCTTGCGGCCATGACTGGGAATTGCATCAGTATCACCAGAATTTAAATGCCAACCTTCCAACCTTAAATTGTCTCACGCACACTTTGGGAGATATGCAGAATTCCTCCTTTTCAACCTTGCCTACAATTAAAAACAAGCAGAACTACCACACTGCAGCAGCTGTCTTGGACACGAATGCTGCATAACAATAGCTAACAAGTACCTGTAACAGCAACACAACTATAAATAGCATCAGCTTCTGTAAGAAAGGGTTAGAACCACAGAGCTTTCAGTGGATTGGAATGGATGCAGTTGAAGCTCTTGAGATCACTAAAAATAAAGGTGACTGAAGTTGAGATTTCTTCTTTATGACTTGTTCTCTAGTTCATCTTTCTATTCCAGGCACTTACTTGCAGTCAGCAGAGCACAGGAGAAAGACCTCTATGCAAAGGCAGCATTATTTGCTAATGCACGAGCTCTCCAAATCACTGAGCCCTGAACTTTATAGTAAAATCCATCCTCAGCTTGCTAAACTCACATCATGCGATATCTACACTGTGTTTGTTCCAGTACTACAGGGGTTTTCTAGTCTCTCAAATATACCTTAAAAGAGTAAATAGAGAAGTCCATTAATAACCCTCAAAGAGCTAAGCATGGCCTTCAAGGAACATGCTTGCTTCCATAAAGGTGGTGGATCTAGAATGTGATCTATTAGCAATTACAAAGAGCCATGAGGTGACAAAATGCAAGCTTGTCATTATCATCTCCTTCATGAATAGGGGACAGCTCTCAAACCTGCAAAGGGGAAACTCAGACCACCTGAAACCTTGGGTTAGAGCAGCTGATGCTTGGAAACAGCAAAAAAAACACTCCAAACCTCAGCACTCAGTGCGTATGTCCATGGATCCCAGAGAACTCATCCTACTCAAGTACAAATAAATTAAATCCAAAGTTCTTTCCTGAAATTTGCATGCATGTTCCTGCTTTCAGACGTCCTATTATTGTCTTTCTAGGAAATGGGAACTAGATCTTTGTTGACCAAAAACCAGAGTGTAAAACAAGCTCTGATTTTAATGCCTTCTGTGCGTGTTCTCCACCAGTTTCTTAACTCTCTTGTTTTCAGCAACTTTTCTTTTCACCTCACTTCCAGAAGTTTCTGTTGTTCAGTCATAACATGAAGCACTGCTGACACTGGCAGCATCACCAACAACCACTGCACATTGCTATAGATGAAATGCAGCAATGCCTTACACAGGCTCCATCCACACGTCCACATCCAGTCAAAAATTAATACCTCCAGACCCAAACGAATGATCTGTGCCTCTTTCTTCATAATCCACTTTCCACACAGTCGTTCTTTGTGGACACCAGGAAATCCCCACCTAGACCTGACAATTCCTTGAACTCTGGACCCACCCTACTTAAGCATTAAGCCCCCAAGGAGATAGTGCCTTTGATTTACCACTTGCACAGTATCAAAGAGCAGGCCATTAGCTATTCCTTTTCACTCTGCTGAAATCATTAGGCACTTCAGCAAGTGGTAGAGTGGAAGAAAATACTTTAAAACACACAAATACAGAGCGGAAAGAGAAACAACCACCAACAATTACTAACTACAGGCAAGCACACCACATATGAAAACAGCACACAGGATGTCCTGCACCATGGAACAGGAGCATCCCTCCCAGCCTTACCTGCACACCAGGGTCGCAATGATGACACACCATGCTGTACAGCAGCAGTCGGCATTCAAGTGTTCTTCGCTCTTTCGGTGGCGGCAGCAGAGCCAGAAGGAGTAGAACAAGAGGAAGAGCAGGTCCAGAGCCAGGCAGGAGAGCGCGATGCCACCCAGCAGCAGCAGAGCCTGCGGGAAACAAAACCCATCGTCACCCCTGGCTGCCTTGTGCCCACAGTGCAGGCTGCAAGCAGAGCCCAGAGGCCTCAGCAGTAATGCAGTGCTAAAGGCCAACTCTGGAAACCAGTTGTTGGGTAAGGGTTTTTGCTTTGTTTTCAGCAGCCATAAACAGGAGACATGCAGCCTCACTTCCTTCTCCTGCCTCTACTCAGTGACGCCACATCCTGCCTTTGAACCACAAGGAGCTGAGCCATTTTGTCCAGCCCGGTCTGAAAACAGTCAAAGTCAATCAGGGAGGGTTTCCTCTTTGCTTCAGATCAGAGGTCAGCAGATTTAGAGAGAGGAAAAAAATAAATAAACAGTTCAGCCAGCTGCCTCTATCTGTACAGTCCTTTAATCCTCATGAATAAACATGCAGGGTTCTTCATTAGAAATCCAAGTGCATGAGTAGGTCTGAAAGGGGGTGGAATTTATTATACATGAGTGAGATTGAATGAAAAAGAAAAAAAGAATGCCCATGCAACTCTTCTATTCTAGATAGGCCTAGAATAAATGCTAAACCCTCCATCTACCACCCATCCACTTACAAATACACAGCAAAACTAATGCAGGTGCTACAGACACAGCAGCTCAAAGTAGTCACAAGCTGAGGTATTGTCACACCTATTTCTATTCAGATATTCCCTGGGAGGAAAGGAAAACCTCAAGTAGTTAACTCCATTCCAATTGTTTTGTGTTCAGAAAACCCTGGCCCAAAATGCAAAACTACTTTGTTGAATAAAAAGTGAAATCACTTCTAACACCAAATCCAGTCACCCTGTCTCATGGGAGTGAATGAAATAAAGGATGTTATTTCATGTAGAAGAGTTTGAGGGCAACCCCTTGGGTAGCAGTGACAAACACCAACATATTGTATTGTTAAAGGCCCTAAGTTTCCATCACTGCCCTGATATTAGAAAGGCAGGCACAGATCCGTATCAGCAAATGTAACACAAAAGTTTAGGCTTTTTTAATTAGCACCTCTCTTACTCCTTAGGAATGCCACAGTTGCAGTAAGATCCTCAAAGTTTACAAGCACTTCTAAACCAGACTGGTAACATGTTCCTCTTCAAAAGTTTTTCTTTCCCTTCCTTCCCCCCCAGCTTGCTCTGTAGGTACTCCCAGCTGAGTTATTACCCTGGCAAGCTACACAGGCCACATAACACTGGAACATACTTCCCAGCCAAGCCAACATCAGTGTTTACAGGCTGTAGCGCCCATCAACCATTCATAATGAGATTCATACTCATTAGGGCTGTCTGCTGCATCACAGATATTCCATGTTGTACTGTGCTGCTTGCCTTTGCAGCCCAAAGGAACCAACCCGGAGCTCAGCAGCCATGCCAGGGATGCAGAGCACCTACAGGTGCAGCTTTTCCAAACTAAACAGCTGAAACTCCGTCCTATAGGAACTGAACCTTGGGTTTTTTTGAGAGAGAGAGAGAAAGAAGTGGGGGTGGAAGGGAAAAAGCACAATCCCCCTTTCCCATGATTACGCCAGATGGTGTGTGCTGTTCGAGTTCCTGAGCAGAGAGAGGCCTTCGAGAGGGAAGCTGCCTTCAGAGACCCAAAGTTCTCCCACTTCTGAAGGCCTGCCATGCACAAGCACTCAGTACTAAATTAACCAACACATTCGGCGTACCAAAGCTCCTTGGGGACGTTGGTTGTTTTTTAAAACACTTCAGGCTGCTGTAACGCCAAGATTTCCTGCACTGCACGCCTGCACTTCTTCGCTCACACCCTCAGCCCTCCCGCATGCACCAGCAGGCACTGCTGCTGGAAAGCACAGCACACAAAAAGCTTCTCCCACAGACTCTTTATCAGAAAAAAAAAGTCACTGCAGCTCCAGATGTGGAGGAACAGATCCTTCCAAATGGGGGAAAAAAGAAAAGAAAAAAAAACACCTAAAAAGATTGCTATGCACCAAGCAACCTGAAGTCCTCACTTCGAAGGGACACTTTAACATATGCTGAATGTAAGCATTTAGCCAAAAGGACTTGGCTGGCCAGTGCACCAAGATCTGTGTTTCATTTTCCAGAGAATATTTGTTTTCCATTAATGGACACGTGCCATGACAACAAGTGAAATCATCCAGCAGAGCAGTTATTAATCTTTCTGACTGATGAGTCAGTTTAGGACCCAAAGAATGGCTGGCAGTGAAAGCCTGGTTGCAACCGCAGATATGCCTGTGCCTGCTTCTCAGGATTAAATAACAGTATTTAAAAAGGGAGGCTGAGGTTGGATAAGCCCTCAGACATTTTATCCTGCAACACTAAATCTGGGACTCGGTTATCCAAGGCCACATTATCCCAAGTAAATGTAAAGTTATGCACTGGGCCTTTTGCCACAAAAGAGCATCAATTCGTCTTTGAACATTTGCTGAACTATCAGAACCTTTATCGCAAATGATGCATGAACTGCCCTTACAGGAAAACAAAGGCAACTTGGAGGAGCAACATTTTACCACCGTGCTGACACTAATAGCAGAAGTGGAGACCGAGCAGTCCCTGAAAATGAGTGTAAATCCAAGTGGTATCAGCCTGTCTGGCAGGAGACAAAACTACAGTGTTCAGAAGCTCTTTCAAAATAAAAGCTAACAGTGGTACACAGGGAAGTAACCAAGAGCAGCACTGCTAGCTTGGAAAGGCACTGTGAAACCTGAACACTCTTGGTCTCATGCAGGATCGTGCTCAGCAGCCTCCCGCAGCATTAACAGCTTCCCCAGCTCCAACTGGCTGCCAGGGTTCATGGCATTCACCCTCTCCATGGGAATAAGAAGCCAAAAGGGGCAGAAAACATCTAGGTTCCCTTGCAGAGAGAGGCACCATCACAGTAGGAAATAGAGGGCACGGCAAGAAGCTCCCCCCACAAAAACACCCCTGTGCTGGTTAGCTCCATTGAGCCAGGAGCTCGCACATTGCACTAGGGTACTTTTAGGTGCTGATACTGCACCCAAGGTCATATATGCTGACTGGCCTTAAGTGCAGCACAATTCACAGCCTCCAGGACCACAGCTTCTGTTACTACAAACAGATTCAACCAACACGTCTATTAGATGATAAATGTCCACACAAAATAGCTGTTTGCAGCTCTCTCCAGCCACAAGTTCCCAACTGTGATCTACATCATTACATACATGAATGTCTCTCTCATCTCCCTGGTCCTAGAAGGCTAATTTCTGCTCCTGAAATTGCACTTAAGGGATGGATACTCCATTACATCCTCCCCAGCAGGAAGTGTCCTCACATGAGAAATTGCCATCGCAAATGCAGTCAAGAAAGGGAGTATCAATCTGCACAACAGAAAAGGGCTATACAAGGTACATCTGAGTACATTTCCTAATAGAAGGAAGCTCAAAATAAAGATGAAGCACTATAAAACATGAGATAAGTGTTGGATTACACTCACAGAAGCGTCGAGATCTAACAATGCCAGAAAAGCTGCTGGTTCATCACCTGACTACAGAGCAGTGATGGCTGAGGGAGTCCTCCTACCTCCAACTCTCCCTGCCACAAAGGTTACTTGGCACAATAAATCCTGGCACCACCACAGGGTTAGAAAGTTAATCCTGAATAAGCACATGGATTATTTTGAATCAGTGTGTATTAACTGAAGTTTTACTCATTTCAAGCTATCCAGCTTCCAATTACCTCATTTTCTTGACCTGAACTATATTAGCAGCAGCATGGCATAGTGAACAACTATTCACATGGAAGAGGCAATAGTTATTTCTGGATTGCATTGCTATTTTATTACCAGTCATAAAGTCCACTAAAACCTCAAGAAGAAACTTGAGACCAACGCTGAAAGCCCTCAGGTGGTTCCCAAAAATCATGCCATTTTGCTTTTAATCTTCCATCAATAGTTTAACAATTATTTCCTCTTAAACTCTGCAATTCCAACCCACACGACAAAATAGAAAATCCAACATCTATAGCTTTTGAGCATCTCAACAACAGGGCTGTATTAATCATTGCCAGATTGAAAACCGTTTTATAGTTCTACCTTAAAGTTAGCATTTGCCAAGAGAAAGCTTTCCACGCAATCTGTAACAAACGTTCCTTCTGGATTTCCATGCAGTGACTTAAGACTGTGATAATAAAACAGACATAAGAGGTTAAAGGAGTGTGGGAAGAGAAAAACGTTCACCCAGAAGAACAAATGAAGCAAACTGGGCTGCTGCCAAAGCAGCACTCATCTCTATTTATTCCATGAAGGACGGAAGTCTTCTTAGCAAGAAAAGAAACTTCTGTGGGATAGCATCATGCCCACTCTCCTTCCTACACCTTTTTTGCAGACCTTAGAGCATCTGAAGAGCTTATGTACTCACAGATAAGTAATTATGTCCTACTAAACCAAACTCTGTGTAATGCCAGCAACGGGAGCAGCACATTTTGACTCCTCATCAGCTTGTTCTGTATGGGCTGCTGCGAGTCCAGAGACTTGACTTTCATTTCGTACCCCTTCTGATGGAAAGCATTGTATGTGGCGTTCACTGAGGTGCTTCACTGTCTCGGGATGTCATTCATCCCACAGCCTCTAGAGAAGGGGAAACACAGCCAACCATGCATCGCTGAATCTAATTGGAAAGGGGGGGGGGGTGATGGAGATGGAAGTCACTACTGATCTCAGCACTAAACCATCCCTATCTCCTCTGCCTGGGGAACAGGCCTTCCCAGGCCAATTACTGTATTCAACACAGTGGAGAGCCAGGCTGGGCAGGAAACGTGCTGTGGAAGAGCCTTTTCCCACGGTACTGGGATGTATTCTCCTTCATTAGGGATCCCTTGGCAGAGAGGAAGAGCACCATGGAAACAGAGGACAGGTTCTACTGTCTTATCTCCTTATACAGACATCTCCCAGGGAAAGCACGCTGTACAGAAACGCAGTACATTACAGATAGATATATTAACAGCAAGTCCACACTGGAGTAGCAATATAGGCCAACACTTCGCCTTTGGCTTTTTTGGCTACAGGCTTTCCTTTCTGGGAAAAAAAAGGAAAATGCCAAGGATTATGTCATGCTTCTTTATTTTTATTTTTTAAATCACCTGAGGGCAATAACCAGGCTAAAACAGATCCGCAGTTGAAACATCTAACATGACTAGATAGCTCAAATCTATTCAACCAGGTTGGGTAAACAACATGGGCTGGTTTCCTCTGTCCTGAGAAACAACCTGCACAGGTAAGGGCATTCTGGAGTTAATTGGAATTAGAGCTGTGAACTAAAGCCACTTTAATTACAAATGAGTGTTCACACAGGGATTTACTGTAGTTTAACTAGAATGGCCTTAATTCAATGCAGTTTAATTCACTTTAGTGCATTTAAAGTGGTTTAACTAATCTGCTTTGAATTTATTCCTCCAGTTAATTCAGATTAAATTCTCAAGTGCTCTTGTACAGGCAATGACTGAGAACAAGGCTAGGTTGATTAAAAATTTATCACCATTTCCTCCATACTAACATTCTGACCTCTTACTTCATAATTAAAGACTTTCCATGTTATCTTTATATTTGGTCCAACTCACAGAAGCCAGCAACGCTGAAGCCAAAAAGGCAAGGCCCTTCAGATACACCGTTTGTTGCAATAACCAGCACGCATTGCAGTCTGCACCAGAGTTTGGTTGGTTGAGAGCTGTGGTTTCACAGTTTATAGTGCAGGTACATCTAAGACACCTCAGCTCCCATGGGTTACATGGTGGCAGGTGCTAGAATTCAGCACAGCATCTCACCTCACAACCCGAAGAGAGATGGAGAGCATTAAGTAGAAAGGATCTGCTTAACAATGGGGTTGGATTTTTTTTCCTGCCCACGAATGCAGATCTAATCCATGCTAATCAGCAGTGAACGCTGGCATTCTAGTGGGTTGAAGTCAAATAACAATCCTTTTATTCCCTTAGCTGTTACTAACTCAGCAACCTCCATCTTACACAGCAAGGAACCATTCCCAGAGGTAAGGGGGTCCTCCAAACTGGATGTTCTTATCCCTAGTTTCTCCATAATGCTGGCTGAAAGCCTCTCTGCACTACAGTGATGAAAAGAATGAGACACTCTCACCAAATTCAGTTTCCACTGACAGGTCCCCACAGACTAAATCTTTATTAAATGAGGCTTAGCTCAGAACTGGCAGCTTGTCAAATGAGCATTCTCGCTGAAAAGGCGGATTTCCTTCCTGGGGATTCTGCAGATTCCCTTGCAGGCCTCAAAAAAAAAAAGCCATAGATGCACTGGTGTTCAATGCAAGTCTTTGCCCCAAATCCCAGACCAGCAAAACGTGTAAGAAACTCCTTTGGGAACTTCAGCTTTAGAAGTTTACTTTTTCCTATCATTCCCAGCTGGATGAAGTTAAGCCTATTAGCTTCATTTAAAGACAAAGATCAAATAAATATTGGGAAGGTGAAGGGCTCCAAAGGGAACACTGCAAGAGTTCAATGGGTCTCTCCTGCACAGCTGATGCACACACTTGTCCAGCTCACCCATGCCAGACCTGCACAATTCCACCACTGTTCCTTTCCCACATGGGATGAGCTCACACCATCCTGCCCAACAGTGGTCCCTATATTCAGTCTTTTAAAAGCAACTTCATTTCCTTGCTTAGAAAGCTGTATCATCCATTAAAGTCTTAAAATCCAATCTCCTCACAAGGTAATTTTCCAGTAAAGTGGATAATGGAAAGAAACTCTGTGCTATAAAGGCAGTATGAATTTAATGCTTCTCAAACTCAGGGATAAGCAAGTACTGCCTGCATTACCTGGCTCAAGCCCAAGTGCTGTATAAATTCCCATGCCAAGACAATTCCCCATCCCCAGCCCTGCTGCGGGAGCTGGGCTCCACTCCCTCCTGCTTGGAACTCCCTGAAGGAGAGATGCAGCACTGCCAAGCTGCCTGTTGCACGCAGCCACGGGCTGGGGTTTGCTTGCACAGCTCAGCACGTGACCTTAGCAGCACTGGTATATTTTAAAAAAGGCAGGAAATGCTTAGGCCTGAAGCCCAGTGACTTAATCCAATTTCCCTCCTTTTTCTTTCTCCCTTCCCCCTTCTACAACGTGGACTCTCAGACAATGCATTTCATTTAGAGGGGAAAAATCTCATACGTGCCTACCCTTGCTCACTATCAGGCAAAGTGTTTGGACACCACATTTGCTACCTATCTGTGCTGACCATACATAGGCAACACCAGTCTCAAGGATCTTCTTTCATACCCCCCATCTGTAAGGCATTTGTGTTCTATTGCACGCTACCAACTCCTGCTATTTCTTACGAGATACAGTTTGAAACCCAAGCATTCATACAGCTCCTCTGAATTGTAAGAGCTCTGCCTACATTTTGGTAAAGACAGTTACATGCACCCCCTTCTACTACCCTGTTCCTCTTCAGGACCCAAAGCCTGTTCTTTCCAGGACTGAATAGGGAATGACATAGCGCTGGTTTAAATTAAAAGCCATATTTAGGATCACAGCAGTACTACTTGGCCTGCTTAATCCTCTCTTAAAACAGCTAAGCAAACCAGAGAGCATCAGCCACTAGGGCTCAAACACTCAGCTCTCAGCTAGGGTTTCCCAAGCAGGAGCAGCCCAGCACCTACCATACCCTACCCTGCAGCAGTCAGACACCAACCAGCCCTGAAAAAGGCTTAAACACACCTTTTCTGTTTGGAAGTGGAAATGCAAAGCACTGGGGAAGGACAGTGGAAATGAGAACCACACCTAAGCAGAACAGAAAATAAAACTTTTCTCAGCTGTGGAAACTTCACCCAACAGAACACCAACCCATCAGTGGGATAAGTTCATCCCAGCATCACGGACAGCAGTTTCCAAAGGTGTGACAGCTGTAGATAACACAGTTGCTTCCGTCATCATCCCACATTATTTTTCATTTGCTGGATTGTCTTCAGTGGTTCGATATCACACACACTAGTTAAGAAGTTTTTGGAAAACCTTGAACAAATAGCATATACATCCAGCTGCATACAGAGCATGCACAGACATACAGTACAAGCATTCTTCTTTTCATACAGTGCTGGCATCTTCTCCACGCATCTCGTGATTTGCAAACATATCCAAGCAGGGAAAAACAGATCAAGTGTGGCCACTTCCTAAGTGCCCCAAGAGTTAAAATAAAAACACTGACTTTCCTAATTTGCCTCCAGAATGCCCATATGAAAGAAGTTTGTTTTAACAGATTTATTTTTTTTTTTTTAAACAACTGCTCTTGGATTGAAGCAGTTACAGAAAGTCAGGCAGGTTGCCTTCCACACTTTTCCACTGTCGGACCCTGCAGGGCATCCCACCCCCTCAGGGACATCACTTGCAGTCTTCCACCTCCAAATAATTTCATAAAGCCCACTATCGGGACACAAACAGGTAAGGAAGCTCACTCACTATGGGGAGAAGTGATGCCTTAGGGGCATGAGAAAAGCAGCTGCACTTCCTTTGTTCTCAAGTAATGTGTGTAAATAGCATATTCCAGCATCTAACCAGATGAGCTCATTTTTAAGGAGACTGCCCAGGGTAGAGCAGTGGTTTTGTGGCAAGGCTCAGAACTGATCTGCAAAGAACACTAAGCACTTTTTAATTGGAAGCAATGAATTTGTACTCCTTGCAATCAGAGGGACTGTAGAAGCATTCCAACTGTACCGCAGGAACACAAGAACTATGTAGAAACCCAAGAGAGAAGAAAATATTTAAGACAAACATAGATAACACGATCACTGCTGTGCCAGTAGGGTAATGTTCCTCAATCATTTGCAGAATGATATCTTGCCCAGAAAATTGTGCATGGCAGCACCTCTGCAGGCACCATTTTAATCCCATTTATATTTTAGTGTTTTGTTTTTGCCATACATCCACTGCTGCACACAGTAAACCCAACCGTATCAACATTTCCACCGTCTTAAGCATTTCAACAAAGTCCCAAACCATTGTGCTATTGCTAGCTGTCCTTATGACATAATTCCTACGTGAAGCCAGCTTTAAGGCAGCACATTGGCCACGAGGAGGAGCCATGAAGGATCGGACATGGCAGTCTCCCATGGGGCTGGAGATTTCCTCTATGAACTGGGAGGGATGCAGACCTCCGACCCATTTATGTGCTGCAGACCTGAGCTGACCTGCCTGAACAAACAACACCAACATGCAGACTGGCAGTGATAATGGCTGCACTTCTCACCCTAAATTCACTCCAAAACTTCCTCTTCAAAGACTACAGCACTGGGGTTAAAAGGAAAAAATAAAAAGGAAATCTCTTCCCTCAGCATAAGCAGTGAATTTTACTCCCCCAAGAGAAACTCAATTCATGCGCAGGAAGCATTTTCACACTGCGTCTTCCTTGGTTTTGTTTGTGGGTTTGGTTTTTTTGTTTTGTTTTCCCCCTTTTATTAAAGGAGGATTAAAAAAACCTCTCAAAAAAACCTTCCAGGACAAAGACAACCAATATTCACTATTGGGAACCTTCAAACCCAGGAACAAAAAATACCATAGAGAGACTAAGAGAGGAAGCAGATCAAAAAAACCTCCACGCCAGCCAAGACCCACCGCAGTCACAGCTGGAGCCTTTGCTCCTGCACCACTGACACGGGCAGCAGCCCCATTAACCACTTCTCTGCAGCCCGTGCACGGGAAGCACAGTGCAAAGAAAGGCCTCACACAGGCTCCTCGCCAGCACTGAGAAGGGATGAGGGCCTCTGGTAGCTGTGCTGAAGAGAAAAGCTATTTGAGCAGTGATGCTTTCTTCACAGCTTTTGCTGTGAAGCTGTGGAGCTGCAGATGGGCCACTCAGCAACTGGGTGCAGAACGATGCTGCTGCTTTAGGAGCAGCATTCTGCCAAGTGGTCTGCATGTCCAGCTCTGCCACACCACTGCTCCATTACAGAATCACAGAATGGCCCGGGTTGGAAGGGACCTCAAGGATGATGAATCTCCAACCCCCTCACACAGGCAGGGCCACCAACCTCCCCACTTAATACTAATACACTGCTGTGCTATGAACAGTGGACCAGTGCTTCTTCAATTCGTATCCCAAACACCATTCCTGAGAACAGGGCAAGAGTAAGCATGCATACAGATTAAAAAGCTGTGCAGTTACAAGTGAAATCCAGTGCCACCAGATGAATTACAGAGGGCATCTCATTTGGCAGCTTCAGATCTCAGCACCTCTTCGCTGTTTCTTCATTTTCCAGTGGCATCTGGGAGGAGAGGGGAAACGGTTCCCTCTCAACTCAGCAAAGCCAGGCTTCTCTCACATGCTTAGAGACCAGTGTGCCCCACTTAACTTCCTTCCTCCACCACCAAGTCCTGGGAAAATGTAAGGATGGTCAAATATGTTGCTGCACCAGTAATTACAGCAGTTAGAAGAAGTATTTGTACCACTTTGTCCTACAGGATTTCTTGTTAGCTGCTTTCCCCAACAAATGCATCATTGACACTAGAAATCAAAGTGCTTTGAAGGTAAACTAATACACTCTCCTTCAGAGATCCTCCCATCCTGCTCACAGATAGCATCGCTCCCAGACCTCGAGTCCTGCAGCACAGGCATTCATTCATTCTTCTCAACTGCATTTTGAGATTGATTTTACAGGAGAGTTCCCAGAGCTCTTATGGAGGTTTTCTGCCCACGCTGATGTCATGGTTATATTTAAAGAAGGAATCCCACTAAAGTGGTTTATAACATGCTCTGGCAGGACAGTGTAGACAGAACTAAATCCTATTAAGCTACTTAGGTTGCTTTCCCCTCCTAAAGTCATTTGTCAGATGCTGGCTCTGCACACAGCAGCCTACCAGCCTCAGACCAGCTTACCAAGAGCCACACTGAAAACACCAAACCAAAGAAGCAAATCCAGACACCATGCAAACAAGAAACTGGGGCAGTGCGCTGCTCCAGTAACCTCCAGGGATCCCAGAGAGTGGAGGAAGCTGCTGGTTAGCTTCTCATTACAGTTTGGAATCTACTTGCATACCACTGAACTTTATTAGTTAAAATAAAAATGACTTTATATGCTGCTCTTGACATGAGTCAATACTTTTTTGAAAGAGTACCTGAATGGAAGGTATACCTTATAAACAGAGATCACACTAATGGGGAGTGGGGATAACTGGAAGATGAAGTACCGTTCAACCTTAACTTGGCACCCCAGGGAAAAGGGGAAAGCAGCATTCAGAGCTGTCTGGTCTGCTTTCCCTGTAACTTAAATACAGGCGCCACCG